AGAAAAAAGAACGAAAATAATAAATAAAATTGAACGGGGTGGTGGAGTGGGGAGTTACAAAAACAAAGAAAAAACAAAAAGGGGGGAGGGGGGGAACGACGAAAACGAGAGAGAGAGAGATGAATTTTTAGCTTTTAAAATAAATAAACAAAATAAAATAATAAAATAAGGCGAGAAAACGGAGGAAAAAAAAAAAAGGGGGCGTGGCGGGGGTTCAATTTTTGATGTCCCGAAGTGTCCTTGGACGAGGCGCAAGATGTGGTAGGGCAGGTGTGTGTGTGGAATGAAATGCAACAAATGCGTACGCGCACTTAAATGCGCATTTATTAATTTGATTTTATAAAATACCGTTTTTTTTTTTTTATTATTATTATTTATTTTTTACTTTTTTTTTTTTGGGGGGGGGTTTCTTTTACTCCGGTTCTTCCCCCCGTTCTATTGTTTTCCCACTTAAGCAATTGTGTGGTGTGGTCCTGGGCGTACCATTTCATTTTGTTTTGTGGTTATGGTCAATATGAATACTTTTCTGTTTTTTTTTTTTTTTTTTTGGTTTTTGGTTTCTCCCCCCACCCACACACGTCCCCTGCCTTCCACGAACACCGCCAGCGGCCTCGCTTCCACCGATGACGCATCGCCCCATAAATTTTCCACCGTTTTTTTTTCTTTTCTTTTCTTAAGTGTGTGTGTGTGTGGAGGGGGCGTCACAATCGATACGGGAACAGGCTGTGAGAGAGAGAGAGAGGGAGAAGAGGAGATGTTGATAAAAGAATGGGAGCACAAAAGAATGCGGTGGCGTTCAACACGGACAGCTGCAACATGAAGAAAAAACTCAGTCATTTGTTTATAACGGACGCATCGGCCTCTACAGTCTTTTTTTCGTTTTGTTTTGTTTTCATCTTCCCTTCTCCATCTGTGGGTGCTTGCATGCGCTGGGGATTGGGTGTACGCAGCGGCATTTACAAAAATGCCTTCTCTTGTTTTTTTTTTTTCTCTCTCTCTCTCTCTCTTCCTTTTTGTTTTTGTTTCAGCGGAGGGTTCACGCGGCTTCAGCTGTGAAAGAGTGAGGGAGGGGGGAGCGGTGGGTGGGTGGAGGGGGAGGCGCAAGAAATAAGGTCAAGAGACCGAAAGGGAAAAAAGAAATCAAGATCACTTTGGAGAGAAAGAAAGAGGGAGGAAGAGAGAAGGACGCCGTTGACAGCTCACTCCACGGTGCGTCTTCCGCTGGGCTCGTCACGCTTATATGTCTGGGTTGCCGGTGAATGGTGCCTCTAGCGGCGGTTCCTCAAGGGGTGAGACGACTCATTTTCGCGTGAAATTAGGGAACATCCCTAATCCTGCTTCCAGCACAACTTTGGACAGGGCCAGCAAGACAGAGAAGGTGCATTCGTTTCCGTCGTCGTCCTCCTTGAATTCAAGTGAGACGACATTGACGGCAGTGGATTTTTGTACATGGGCGTCGATGGCGAATGCGATGTCGTGCGCCTACACGTCCAGTGGATATCCAACTTTTCTCACCACCAACAGTGTTCGTAGTGATATTTATGGGGCTTTTGTGGAGCTGCGAATCCCTTCGCTGCACAGTATGACGTTACCACCGGAGGAGACTCTTGTTGTTGTCCCTCCTACTCCGCAGAGCTGCAATGACAGGATGAACGCTTCATGTGCCTCTGCATCTACTCTTCCCTGCCGCGTTACCGGCACCGGCGGTCCTTCTCGCCCGTTAGTGTTGGTGGTGTGGAAGCGTGGTTCTCATCTGTTTAGCACCCACCCAGCGACGGTGGCAGCACTGAGTCCTTCGACGAAGTCGCTCTCCGTGAACAGTCCAAAGACGCCTTCTTACCTTGTCCGTCTCAGATCAAATTCATCTTCCTTTTCGAAAAATACTCGGTCATCTCCAAGTGCAATTGACAACGTGCAGACTTCTTCACGGCTGAATGAACTTTTTTTTGGGCTTCCACCAACAGTCCCTACAAAATCAAGTTCTGTCCAAAAAAACGGCGTTGCGGATGGGTTTGCCCCCAACATCAATGATGTAACCCCCCCGAGAAATGAGGATGACGAGGCGGAAACGCAGGCTGGGAAGTCGGTAAAAAGGCCACCGCCTTCTTCTCCACCTCCTGAGGAACCTCCCATTGAGGGCGTCCCGGTGCAGCTGACGCTGGTGACGGCCGGTAGTTTTAATCATCTCACCACTTATGCGGTCAGGCACCAAGAGGGAAAAGTGCTGGCGGCTGTTCCTGTGCAGACTATCGTTGCCTCGTCATCGATGCGAAGGATCACTGCCCATTGCCCTTTTCTTCTTGGTATGGATGTGAGTGAGAATTACGTTGCGCCAGCATTGCTTACTGAAGGGGAACGGAATGTATTGCACAAGGAAGAGCTAAAACAGCCAAAAAAACAATTTATGTCATTCAAGTCTACAAAGTCTTCAGAAAGAGCAAAGGCAGAGGGATTGGAACTTCGATTTGAGGAAATTCAGGTGGAAGGGGTAATAAATGACGGTAAAAATGCGGTGAATGTCGTATCGCAGTGCGTGGCGGTAGAGCCGTTTATACTGATTGGTAATCGTAATGGGGATTTGCTTCTCTTTAGCATTTTTGAAGGAAAAATTCTTCAGCGCCTTAATTTTTCAGGCGCAGTAAAAGGTGGGACTAGCGGGGATTCTACAAGTGCGATCTGCAACCAACTTGTAAGTGCTCCAGTCTCATGTATCACAGAAGTGGAGTGCGGTATTGAAAAACGCCTAGCCCTTGTGGTTGATTGTGCAAGGCTGTGTCGGGCGCGAGGTGAAAATAGTTTTACGATTCCATACGTAACTACGCGGGGAGGCCCACCTTCCGTGTTTGCCGTGGGGTTTGGGAATGGGCACGTGCTGATTGTGTGTGTGACAGTGGAGGGGGCTTGGATAAGCAAACACTTTTCATCCTTTGGACATCGACTCGTGCAAGCGATATCGATGCGGGTGCCACACTTCTTGACGCGGTTATGGCCGAATGATGCCGAGGCATCTTTTGCCTCACACGAGACACGGCAGAGGAAGGGTTTTTTTCCTGCAATGACGGTGTGTGTCTCTGCGGAGAGTCTTGTTGTGGATGGAGAGAGTAGTCTTGCGGCGGTCTCCTGTGACGGGGGAACAATACGCCTTGTCAAGGCATCCGAAATGGAGGTTGAGCTGTGCCACGTGACCGCACTTGAAAATCACTCTGTCGGTGACTTTTTGGCTGTGCAATGGGTTCCCAGTCACGCCGACGCCACTCTCTATCCGGACCTTCTTGTGGTCACAAACGAGGATGATTCCATCACGGTGTGCCAGGTGGCATACCTTAGCGACGGGAGGAAAAACGGTGATTGCACCGTTGTCAGGGATCAGAATACGTCCTTAGCGGAGGACTCGGAATTACTTTTTTCTCCCCCTTCCGTGTCGTACCCCGCATACCCTCAGGCTGTAAGGGAGGGATTCGTACGTGTGACGCGACGACTTTTTCATCGCTCGTGGGTAGGCGACCTTTGCGCTCTACCAATTCCTTCTAGAGGTCATTTATTGGTTGCCACATCATACGATAGTCGAAGTTCCTTTTGGCCTCTCTTCTTTTCAGATGCATCCCTTTCTGTAGATGCCCGTAATAACCCCCTAGAGACTTGTTCACTTGAATCATTTCTTCAGGAATGCTTTTCTGGGTGCCTTATCCACGACAAAAATGCTGCGTCTTTCGCATCGCAGTGGGCAGACAACGTCATCCCAGTCGAACCAGTTTTTGCTGTGGCGCTGCACGCGGACCCAACAGTTCGCTGTGCTGCTTGTGGGGCCGGGAGGAGTTACTTTTTTGTTTCTTTGTGCCTCCGTGGACGAGTGAAGTTCTGGGAGGTGAGACCCGTTGTGGATTAAGCGGCGTTATTCCGTTTTGCTTTTATTACTTTTTCCGTTTGTGAGTTTCTTGAAGAGAAATGACAGGTAAAATTCCTGGTGCTGTGTAGGGGGAAGCGTAGGAGAGGGGACTAACGAAAATGATAGCGACTGCCCTTTTTAATTCTCTTGACTTTTGGTATATTAATTAAATTGTTTTTTTTTCCTTCAGGGGTATCACGTTGGAAGGCAACGATGTGTAGTTGTTATTATTATTTCTGCCGTCCCATCCACAGCCACCACCTTCTCTGTTGCCCTCCACGCTGAGGGGGAGTGCAACGGCTGCGGGCCCTTAAAAAAAAGACTCCACCTTGTGAGTTTATAAGGAGCCCGGCTGCCATAACTTTCATGCATTCATTTGTTCACGGGTGTGTGAGTGTTGGATGAATTTACTTCTTAGTGTGTGGGGTGTTGGGCCAAACTGCCACTCCCCGTTGTGTCACACACACACAACCTCTCTCCCTTTCTCCGTGTGTCTTTTTTCTTTTTGTAGGAATAGGGGACAGGGTCTTGGACAGGAGCGTATTCTTATATCAAGTTTTTTTTTTTTCCCGTCCTCTGTTGCGCTTGGTAATATTTGATATGAGTGATTAAGAAAGACACTTTTTTATTATTATTATAATTTTTTTTTTGTTTTACGCATTTTTTTGGTTTGTTTTGGCTTGACTTGCTTAGTGGATTTTCTTTGGTCTCTTTCTGTCACATGTCCTTTTTTTTTTTTTTTTCTCTGCCTGTTTGTGCATTTCTGTTGTTGTCATGGTTTATTTCATGTAGCGAGCAGTGCGTCGAGCGAAAATATTCCCGTTTTATTCATGAGGGGAGTGGCGTTGATGAGGGGGTGGGTTCGACGGCCTTCCTCCATCTTTTCTCTTTTTGGCAGGAGTGTGATGCACGGCACGACGACCTTTGCTGTGGCCACACGCACGTATATGCCGCTACCGAATGACCAGAGTGATTTTTCTCCCTACATTGAAATTGACTTGCCGAGCGAGAGCCGCATTCAGGCGATAAATAAAAGCGGCCTCGGCGCCCAAGATTGGGTGGCCTGCGAGAAGGTGCATGGCACCAATTTCGGTATCTATCTCATCAACCTTGGCGACAAGGAAGTGGTGCGATTCGCGAAGCGTAGTGGGATTATGGACCCCAACGAGAACTTTTTTGGGTACCACATCCTCATTGACGAGTTCACTGCCCAAATCCGCATTTTAAGCGACTTACTGAAGCAAAAGTACGGCTTAGGTCGGATTGGGCGCGTCGTTCTTAATGGCGAGCTTTTTGGTGCGAAGTATAAACATCCCCTTGTTCCCCCGAGCGAGAAGTGGTGCACAATGCCGAATGGGAAACGATTCCCCATCGCTGGTGTCCAAATTCAACGGGAGGCGTTCCCGCAGTACAGCCCCGAGTTACATTTCTTTGCCTTTGATATTAAGTACTCTGTGAGTGGGGCGGAGGAGGACTTTGTGCTGCTTGGATACGACGAGTTTGTGGAGTTTTGCTCCAAGATTCCAAATCTGCTTTACTCCAAAGCACTTGTGCGCGGGACCCTTGACGCATGCCTGGCGTTTGATGTGGAGAACTTCCACACCCCTCTGCCGGCACTTTTGGGCCTTGGCAACTACCCGCTGGAGGGGAATCTCGCGGAGGGCGTGGTCATCCGACACGTGCATCGTGGGGATCCGGCGACTGAAAAGCACAATGTCGCGACGATCTTGAAGCTGCGCTGCTCCAGCTTTATGGAGCTGAAGCACCCGGGCAAGCAGAAGGAGTTGAAGGAAACGTTTATTGATACAGTGCGCACAGGGGCTCTGCGACGTGTACGCGGGGACGTTACGGTGATTGCAGATTCCATGCTTCCGCAGGTGGAGGCCGCCGCGAATAATTTACTGTTAAACAATGTGAGCGATGGTAGGCTTAGCAATGTTCTTTCCAAGATTGGGCGGGAACCGTTACTTTCTGGGCAGGTTTCACAGAATGATGTTTCCCTAATGCTTGCCAAGGACGCTCTGAAGGATTTTCTTAAGGAGGTGGACGCATTAGTGCTTAACACGAGTCTCGCTTTTCGAAAGATGCTTATTTCTAATGTGTACTTTGAGTCCAAAAGACTCGTTGCGCAGAAATGGAAGGAACTCATGAAAGAGGAGGAGACGGCGCAGCAGGAGGCGGAGGCGGCCGCATTGAAGGCCCCTCCAGTAGCCGCCTGAATGCGCCTTTCACATAATTTACACATTTAAATACATGCGTAAGTGCGTGTGTGTGTGTGTGTGCGTGTCTATGTGTTCCTTGGCGTGAGGCCGTGTGCATCGCATTGCGTTGGTTCTTCTTTAGAGGTTTATTGAGAAGTTAGCACAGGGAGGGGAAAGGCGCGAACATCTTTTGTTCTTTAAAAAAAATATATATTTTTTCTTTCATTCTTTCTTCTGACGGTCATTTTAGCTTCTTACTGATGCATCTGATTTTTCCCACCACTTTATTTACCCCTGCTTTTTGCTACCCTCTAGTCGTCTTGAAGCAAGAGCGCTCCCACTTTTCTTTCTGCCACAAAGAGAGGAGGAAGTTTCACGAGTGGCATTGGTAGAAGCGCTAGGAAGTGATATTGGCAGCGGCCATTATTCGAGGTGAGCCGTGGGTGTGCGTGGCGATAGCATACGAAGTGAATTTTATTTTTATTTTTATTTTTTCTGATGACGACGCTTGATGAGGGGGAGAACAGGAGAGATGGAAGCTCCCACTCCAACGAGGGGCTTAGTAGCAGTAGCCACATGAGCAAAAACCGGCGTGTGGGAAAAAATGGTGGCAATGATGGGGTGAGCGTTTTTCTTTTTTCCACACATCACATTCCACACGCCCTAAAGCCGTATTTGTCTACCACGTCGGTGTCAACGAGGCTGGTGGAGCAGTGCCTCTGGAGTTATCGGGACACCATATTTTTGGCGCGGGAATATGGTCACAAGACGGATGCAGAGAGGACGCAGCTCCGTGTGCATCTACTGCAGTTGCAACGAGAGAAGACAAATGGAAGGAAAGACACCACCGATAGGTCGGAATCTGCCCCTTTTTTTGTGGAGGGTCAGTTGTGGGATCTCATGCTGCGTGAACCCGGAAAACACCCGATTCTCCTCTCGGAGTCGCTACGCTATCAACAGATTCTGCAGGACATGAAGCACCTGGCTCGAGGACTACTAGCTCCCATTGAAATCTTGCGACACCGCAATTATTGGCTGTTGCTGCAGGAAGATGTGCAGCTGAATTTGTCGGATCGTCTCTTGCATTATCGTGTGGTGCTGCGACAGTCCCCGCCGGTGACAATGGTGACGAGACTTTGGTGCGATTTATGGGCTCTACTCGGTGCGGCGTGGAGGCAGCGTGAGCGGCTGATGGGGGTCTATGCCGAAGGCATTCCACCCACAGATCTGAATGGCGATGCATCGCAACTTCCGCCCTTTCCTTCCACTCCACCCTCGTTGCGTGACGCTTATTGCGAGAGACAGCGGGGGCACGCCGGCAGGCACGCCAAAAATGGGTCTTGCAGCGGGAGCCGTGTGACCGATGACACACAAACGGCTTTTGAGGAGGAAGGAGACAACCTCGCTTTTGGACCTTTGCTCCCGCATCGGGTGGGTATCACGACGTTGCGTCACTACGCCATCCGTGTTCCGTTGCTTTCTCTCTTGCGCTCCCTGCGTGTGTGGAAAGAAGAGGTTGCTGTCACGGCATCGCGACGTGGGCCCAATGGCACTGGGAGGAGCGGCGCCCTTCCTCGCGATGGATTTCCGGCAGCCAAGAACGATAGTGTTAACAATGACACCACGTCTATTTATTGCTTTGAGGACGCAGAGTCTCTGAATGCACCGTTCTTTGACAATACAGTAGAAGATCTGGAGGCGTGTCAGGTGCCGTACATCTCACCAGAGTGGTTTGTCCGTCTGCGTTTGCGGGACAAAGACGTCTCCCACGAATGGGATGTCTCCGCCGTTCTTCATTCCTACTCGGACGACGCATGGAATATTGCCGTGCTGACACTGGAGTTTATGCTGACCGGATTCCCACTTGCTGAAAGTTGCTGCGGCCACCCAGACTGTTCGGCTCCGCCGACCTCGTCATGCTTTGATGACGTTATGAAACTCTTAGTGAAGTTTCACGGCGTACCTCTTGAGGCGGCACAGAATTTTCTTTACGCGGCACTTCATGAGTTGTCATTGCTGCTTCGAAAAGAGTGCGAATTGCCAAGGATGGCATCGGTGGATGGGAATCTCTTACAACCGGAGCCGTTACCGCAACGCCTGGCAGAAGAGTGGTACCTTTATCTTTGCAGGACGTATGGTGCTGGTGACGGTACGAATAACGGTGATGGTGGCTGTAGTAGTAGTAGTAATGGTGGTAATAGTAGTATTCTCCGTGAAGTTGCGGAAGGTGGACTTTTATGGTCCCGCCGTGAGCGATGGAAGGCGTTTCAGGCGGCACATGCTCTTTTTCTTTCAGATGCTATCGATAACAGTTCTGCAGCTGGCGAAAACGGCGCTGGTGGCGGCGGCACCGCAGTGTTGGATGCTGCTCAGCGTGTCCTGAGCAGCCTGTCATGTCCTTTGATACCACTTCATCCCACTTTGTGCGCTGCGGCAACGAGAGGTGGCGTTGTGACGGAGTCCTTGAAGCTGCACATGCAGCCGATAATGTCATTACTGAAGCCCCTGTCTCCATCCCTGTGGGATTTGCAGATGCAGCTGCGGGTTTGGCGGCACAGCGTGGAACGACATGCTATGGTGGATGGAGGCTGTCGGAAGGATGGCGAGGCGAGGCGGAATGTTGTGTTCAGGGAGTTTGTTCACGTCGTGCGACGGATACTACAGCAACAGCCCTGCGAGTCGAATTTCACTGGGGACACAATGGAAGAGGCCTCCCGAACTATTCATTCGCGTCTGATTCCCTCCGGTGCCAAAACGTTCCCTGCAAATGGGAGTAAATTGTCGCACTCGGCAGCACAAAATGGATTGCTGCGAGGGCTGATGGAACGTAGTGCTCTCTTTTCGTACTGCACCGATGTTTTTTTCCTTCCTGAACACAATAATCCCGCTCATGGCATTGGTGATGGTCAGGACGATAACGACTCTAAAGGTGATGATGATGATAACCGGTTTTCACCGGTGTTTCCCTTTTCGCAGGTATTCCTCCCCATGGAGGATCTTCTGGCGTTGTTGCACAAAGATGTGGTGGCACTCAACGACTCCTCTCCTTCTGTCACCGTGGCCGTGAATGCTCTTGACACTCTTGTTGGGGCGAAATTACCAACAAGCCTTCGTTTGCCGTTGGCCTTATCCTCTGCCGCGGCGGACGTGGGGTTGCTGAAGAGTTTCAAGAGGGTCATTCGTGCAGTGGATTTGAATGTTGCGCAACAGCTGACCTTAATCGCGGGGTTGCGACCTCTCCTGCACGTTGCACCAACTCCAAAACGAGCGATGCTGGTACGACGTTACCTCACGGATGTGCAGACGGTTGAGGGTATTCCGTATGTGCCGGTGCCGGCTACAATTCGCGGGGAGGTGTGGGGCGCGCTTCTTCAGGTGCCACCGGAGGCCACACGTGTAGCCATATATTACGCACTTAACACCTCCAGTGTCTCTGTTTTTGATCGGCAGCTTTCAGTTGACATTCCTCGATGTCATCAGTATCATCCTTTGTTAGTAACGGCGGAGGGGCATGAACGAATGCGACGTGTTATTAAAGCCTGGCTGCTGATGAACCCTGACCTTACATATTGGCAAGGAATAGACAGTGTATGCGCCGTTCTTCTCACTGTTAGCTTCACAAATGAGGCTCTTGTTGCTGCGCAAATGCAGAAACTTACGCAGCATTATATCCCACATGGCCCCGTTGAGTCATCGATTTCAGGTGCGAAGAGTATGGAGGATCATCTGCATCAGCTTGTCATGATGTTGCGTTACTGCGACCCGCGTTTGGCGGTGCATCTTCTAGACGAGGTGGAGTGTCATCCGGAAATTTTTGCGATTAGTTGGTTCCTCACCCTCTTTGCTCACAGTTTGCCGGTAGGAAAAGTGTGTTTGCTCTGGGACTTTCTTTTTTTGTACAACGAAGCATACCCGCACTGCCTGACAGCGTTATGCCTTGCGGTGCTGCTTCAACAGAGGGACAAGCTGCTTGGAAACGATTTCTCTGTCTGCCTTTTGGCACTGAGCCGTCTGCATGGCATTGACGTGCACCTTGTGCTGCGCGACGCGGCGCTGATTTTGCGCTCCGTGCCGTCCTCTGTGGCGTTGCTGTCGCACCACTTCAACGATTGGGCGGGGGAGGTTCGGCACTGCGGGGTTTCGCATGTGAATGTTCAAACAATTCTCCAGGCGTTCAACGACAGCTTGTGGCGGGCGGCAGAGGGAGCGGTGGGCGGGGGGTGGATGCAGTCGGGACTGTTTCTCGTTGACCTCCGCACACACCGCGGGGCGGACGTGCTTCCACAACGCGCGACACGCGTGGAGGAACGTGTCGTGGGGGCACTGCTTTTTCCTCTTGCAGCGCTTCACGCACATGAAGATGATGATGATGACACTGGCGCCATGAAATACTCACAGCGACTCGTTACCCAACAGGCCACGGAGCTTTTGCTGCAGCTTGACAACATGGCAATGGCAGCCCTTCCACCGCTATCGAAAACATCATCATCGTCATCAGCAGCAGCAACGAGGTTGAAAACAAAAACGTTGCCATCGCCACTTCCCGTGGGAGAAGATTTGAAGGATGGTCCCTCTACCGCTCTGCAGGAGTGTGCTATGGCCCCCCATGTTGTCTTGTTTACACGGTCAATGGAACCTGTTGAGACGGCAGCGGCAGAATCACTTGCGCTTGAGTTGGTGCGGTGTGGTACTCCCCATGTGTCCATTCTTTTTGGGGGTTTTGTAGAGCTTAAGAGGGAAGCATCACATCTTATCGTTGAATTCGAAGAGGATTGACGGTCTTTCTGCTCCTTTGCCGGCGATTTCTTTTCGGTTGCATTTTAGCGTGGGCACATAATGCATGCGTCTTTGGATGCTTGTCTTTATCTCGCATGTGGACATGTTTTTTGCTTTTTTTTTTCCTGTGTGTGTGTGTGTGTGTGGGCGTTCGCTGCATGTTTTGTGTCTTGTGTTCTCTTGAGTTGTAGTTTTCTTTTGTTCTTGTTACACACACACACACACACATTTTTTTAAAAATTTTCAAACTCTCAGTCTTGCCTGCAGGGCGAAGGGGTAGTGGAGAGGAAATTTGGAGTAACACGCCACGGGAAAGAAGCCGCGTGAAATGATTAAAGTTTTTTGCACCAACGAGAATGGCGAAAGCTGCACTATTGCGATTGATCCACAGTCGTCCGTGGAGGACGTGGCGGCGATTATTGAGGTGGAGCTTGGGGTACCCATGCTGGAGCAAGTGCTTGTCACAGCCGACGGCACAACGCTCCAAAGCGACAAGACACTTGAGTCTCAGGGCATCCGTGATGACACTAGCATCGTGGTGATACATACCGCCAAAGACTACAGGGCTGCACAGACTCAAAAAGAGGGTGCTGAGGAAGAGGGGCTCTCGGTAGAAGCACGGCCTCCGCCGGATCGTGAAACGCACGTCTCACGACGGCAAGGCGTAGGGGAGGAGCACAATGTACAACACAGAGACCCATTTTTGCGTCAAGAGAGACCGAGGCAGCAGCAGGCAGGAATTGAAGCTGCGCGTGCGTATATGTCAGAGGGAACACAAAGAGGGCATGTCGGCACGTCGAGGCCTCAGCGCGGAGTACCACAATCAACAGACCACGCGCGCGCGCGCATCGAGCAGTTGTTCAATCAGGGAGCGGAGCGGTTTTCGGGGCAGACTTCGTTGCAGGAGTCCGATCCGGAAGTACAGCGCCGCATTTATGAGTCTATTTATTGGGAGAACGTGAATGAAAATCTTGAAAGCGCGTATGAGTTTATGCCGGAGCTCTTTGTGCGGGTCCCAATGCTATTTGTAAACTGTGAGGTGAATAAGGTGATGGTCAAGGCCTTTATTGACTCGGGTGCGCAGAGGTCTATCATGAACCTTCGCACGGCGGAAAAGTGTGGGCTAATGCGACTGCTCGACACTCGTGCGAAGGGAATTATGCGAGGCGTGGGTGTGCGGCGGACGCTTGGTGTCGTCCACATGGCCATGGTCAATCTTGGTGGCCTTCACATTCCTCTTTCTCTCAGTATCATTGATGACGACAAGATGGAGTTTATTATTGGTTTGGACCAAATGAAGCTGCACCGCATGATTATCGACTTGAGGGAAAACTGCCTGAGGATTGCTGACACCCGGATCCCGTTCCTTCCGGATTCCGAGGTGCCGGAGTTGGCCACTGGGGATGAGGTTGTGGATGAGGAATTTGAGGCAAAGGAAGACGCGAAAGGCCAGCAGCGCGGATCCGCCAGGCCTCCGGAAGCGTCATCGAATACCGCCGAGGAAGATGAAAGGGGAGGCCAATGGGGGCGACAAGCAAAGAAAGAGAGGGAGGCGAGAAATTCTGTGGCATCCACCACCAACGTTAGTGGCGCGGTAAGTGCACCGGCGCAGGACTTCGGGACTAACCGCGGTAACGCCAACGTGAATAAAGAGAGGTCTATTGCGGAGGTGATGGCGTATACACGGATGGATCGAGAGGGGGCTGTCGCACTCCTGGAGGCGGCCGACTGGAACGCAGACTTGGCCGTGTCAATCTTTCTTGGTGAGTGAGTTGACTTCCACCGTAATCCTCTCTCTCTCTCTCTCTTTTCTTCAAGAAGACGTCAAGCACGCAGGGAAAACGAGAAAAAAAAAGGGAATATATATATATAAGAAAAAGGAAGTGCAGGCCGGTAGGATGGTGAAGTATTTAAGTTTCTATATATGTGCATCTGTGCGTGTCTTTGTGCGTTTGTCGTTTTTAAAGTACTTTTTTTTTCGTTGCCTACAATTTCTTTGTGTTTTCTTATCCTTTGTTCACACGAGACCACACACGATGTTTCTTGCGCCAGAAGCAGTAGCAGCAGTTTCTGTGGAGGGGAGTGGCGGCTCTTGCATGACTCATTTCTTTTCCTGTTTATTTTCTGCCATTTGCTGCGATGCTGTCGTTTTTTTTTTTTTTTTTGGGGGGGGGAGTTAAAAGAGAGTTTGTGAGGGGCCACTTTGACGGGCCAAACGCAACCACCCACACACACACACACACACGCGTAGGTATAGAAACACAGCGATATCTATTTATACATCTTTTCAATACGTTTTACTGCAGACAAAAAACTTTACCCCCGCGTATTAGTTCTCTTTGCAATGTCGTTAAAGGGGCAAGCAAGTCCCCTCTGGAGGGGCAATCGCGCAGCGGCAATGGTGAGACGTATCCCACGGGGATCTATCGCTAGTGCGGGCAGTTGTGGCAGAAAATCGCGGGAGCAACAGAGCAATTCCACAAGTCCGAATAACACCATTATCGAGATTTCTATCATGCCCGAACTGAACTTGGATGAAACCTTGCGTGTGCGCGACGTATTCTCAGAGTTTGTTAATGATGAATACATCACCACGATGTTTACCTTACGGGTGGTGCTCTCCCAGCTTGGTATGTATCCATCCGATGAGGAGCTATCCTTCCTGCTGGGCGTTTTTGAGAATAAAATAAGTGTCAACAATCTATGTCACTATCTGCGTTTCTACAAGCGTAAGTTTCAAATATTTGCGCAGCAGCGTCGTGTTGAGAACCCGGAGGGGAATGCGCAGGACGAGAGTGAAGACACGCTACGAGCTTTTGTTTCGCTTGGAGGTGCTGAGGATGGCACTGGCTCCGTACAACTAGAGGATCTGCGCAAGGTGTGCCGTGATTTTGGTCTCACTATTGACATCGACGCCATGCTTGTCGATGTTGTGGACATTGAGTATCAGAAGACACTTAATTATGCTGAGTTTTGTGATATGTGGCAGAGTCGACGTCGCCGACGCGATCAGGGCTCTGTAGCATCGGTACAGGATAGTCAAATCGACATTCTCAGTGCTCTGCGTGCACTTGGCATGGATTGCTCCTCGGCACTACTTCTTAGCAACAAGAGCCCTGAATGCAGTGCTACCGTGGCGAAGGATGAAATGGGGGTGGAGGGCTACAAATTCCCATTAAACGCAGACCCCGGATCTTCTTTTCAGCAGCAGCAGAGTAATAACATTACAGTTCTGCGGTCGGAGGCCCAAAATCTACAGGCTCTTAAGCGGTTTCTTCTTCCGGAGGTTGCTGGCGGTTCCATGGCGCAAGATACAACGGCGTTGGTGAAGCGCAAAGCAGTGCGCCACCATTCCACACTGCCGGCACTCCATGTCGCGGCGTTGGCGGAAAATGACCGAAAGCGTGGTTACTATCCTCCTCGCGAAGAAGGCACTAATGCTGCCACTGGTGGTGGTGGTGGTAAAGATGATGGGGGGCTGCCTACAATAACAGGGGGGACAGGAGGCGGCTATCGTGCCCCAAGCCCGATGATTTTATCACTGCGCAACAGTGCCGCCTACAAGAAACGATTGCAGGCATTCGTGCAGAGGTCAAAAATGAGGTCGAGGGGTCGTGTCTCAAGTGTGCAGACACGCCTTACATCCATCCCACCTGAAGATGATGGCCGAAGCTAGCGGGTTGGGGAACAAACAGCACGGAGAGAGGAAAGGAAGACGTATTAGAATCGATGACGTTGCCCATGTACAAAAAGACGGCGGCTTATGTTAAGGCCAGGCTCTCTCATTTACCCAGTAACTTGTGGAAAGCAGGAGAAAGGAAGAATCCAAGCAAAAAGAAAAGGAAAAAAATAAAAAGAAAAAAAGAGAGATATGTATAAAAAGCCAACCAGAGAAGAGATAAAAGATCGCTTGCTTGGGAAGGACGGAGTGGGGGATATCGCGATGTTGATGTGGCTCAGTGAAGTTGGTGTAAGCCTCCTGCGCGATATTATGAGGAGGGCTTTTTTTTTTTTTGTCCTTCCATGATTTTGCCCTCTCTATGTATTCAACCTATTTTATTTTTTCCTTCCTTGCTTTTTCAATTTTACTACGTTTTTTTTTTTTTCTTGCTTACTTGGGTTTGTATGTGGGGATCTTTTCTGGGGCTACGGGGCCTTTGCCGACATTATCTTTTTTTGTTTTTGTTTCTTCATCTTTTATTTGGTTGTATTCTCGTGTTTCGCACATCGGCCCGGAAGCGTCTCCTTCTGCGTGTTTGGATCTGGGGGGAGCCGACAAGCCCTCACTATGCCGTCACGAAGGTTCAACGCACGCCGTGGGATGATTGCAGCGCGTCGTGGATTCTTCACGGCCACGTCGCCGTGCCGTCAATCTCGATTGGTTCCTTTTCACGAACTTTTTGCGCCGCTGTCGTCGTCTTCTTTGCCGAGCTCGCCAAGGCGGTTCCCGGTTCACAGCGTTTGCGTGGATCCTCCATTGGGCACATTGGGGGAGCCCTCACGGAGCCAAGGAGCGGGGGCGGAGGACGGCAGTCCGCTCAGTTGGCTCCGTGAAAATCTTCAGCTTTTGGAAGATGGGAGGAAATCCCTTAATGAGCGTAGGGCGAGCATGCCAGAGGGAAGCCCACAGTGGCCGCGCTACATGTTTCCCTCTCATTGCTGTGAATATATATACGATCCTTCAAACGATTCAAAGCTTGCATTTGTGACATCAGACAATTACTGCCACTTATGCCACGAACCGGTGGAGGTGGCGATTCAACATTGCGCCTGGTGGGACCACGTGACACGGCTGGCAGCCATTCGTCTTATCGCAATTTACCCCCGCCGTTGGAGTCCCGTTGCCGTCCTACGGGAGGCGAACGAAGTCCTCCCCACTGCCGTCATGGTGTCACCCCGGCCGCATCCATTTTTGTCCTTTTCGGAAGCGGTAGATACCGATGATGTCTCTTTGATGGACATGAGCTCTTGTTATGTTTTTGAAAGGGAGGCGGTTGTGCGGCGAGCCGAGTTGGCGGCAATCCTGCGTGTCTTGTGTACCGCAAAGGACGCCGACAGCTGTGATGATGCGGAGCAGCGTATCTCCTCGATCATTCCTGTGCTTCGAGAGTCGCTGTTTCTTTCAGCAAACGGCACTCCTGCGGCAAGCTCGGGGGAGCGGACCTTTCGTGCCTACATTAGCCGGCAAATCAGTGTGTTTCTACCGCCCATGGCACCGGAGCCCACGACGCGGATACAGCAACGTTGTTGGGGGCGGAAAAACTTGGAGATCATGTTTGACCTGCTCGGTGTGGCGTCACTGCAGAGAATTGCCGGAGCGCCTGTTGAGGCAGTGACAAAGAATGAGAAGGCGGCAGTCCTTCGGCAAATCATTTACGAACTAGCGACGGTCCTTTCGGAGGGTGACGCGGAATTCGCAGAAACTTCTTGCGCCAAAATAAACGGCACGTCCTCAGTCGATGCGGAGGTGCAAACCCGTTTGCTTGCAGAGATGGCGCTGCAGCGCCTCGCACATGAGTTGATTCATCTTCACACGATGTTGCTGATGGATCAGGCGTATGAAACCTATGTGAAGCTGGGATACCCGAGCGAGGGGATGCTGGAGAAGAGTGGCTTCTGCTGAGTGTTGGCTTCACTACTCAGGCTGGTGGTTGATTTGCTTCGCCGAGGTGGATGGGTGGGTCAGAGTGCTGTTGTGGCCTGCGTTTCCTTGTGGGAGCCGTGTATAGTTTCCTCTTTTCCTCTTTCTTTATTGTTATTATTATTATTCTGTTGTTTCTTAATTTCCTTGTTGAATAAACGGCGGGATAAAGGAGGGAATATAGTCACGCGAAAAAAAAAGGGGAAAAGGAAAATAAATACAATTGAGGTTGGAGCACGACTTGAACACGTTTGTTTTTCCACACAAACGGAAAGGAATAGACCGAAACGTACGAACACGCGTTTTTTTTTTTTTGTTGTTTCTTCTGCTAGTGTTGGATGAAAATGGAGGGGGAGCAATGGATGGGCGGGGTTGCCGGCGTGCGCCGTGGCAAAGCGTCTCACTTTTTAAAAGCCACGTCCTGCTCCACTACACGGTCGCTGCTTTTGCTTTTTTGCATTATTTTGCTCTTGACAGGGACGCCGTTTATGTCGCTTTTGGTGGAGGCGCATCACATTTTGGCGGTGGACCTCGGTGTTGATTGGGCGAAGGCAGCCACGCTGGGCGGCGGGAGCGGGGCATCGTTGATCCCCACTATTGTTCTCAATGATCAGGCAAACCGAAAGAGCCCACAGTGTATTGCCTTTCGCTTTCTTCCATACGACACGGACGACATACTCCAGAGGGTGGAGCGGTTTTTTTCGGAGCAGGCGCAATCGCTTGAGCCCCGCTTCCCCGATCAGGTCGTATGCGGGCCTTCGCTGCTCGCCGGACGTGGGGTTTCGCGCGTAGTTACTGATGGAAACAACACCGGCGGTGTGACGCAGGGGTCGAATAATAAGGATACGTTGTCATTGGATGAAGTGGCATCACTGACTTTTTCCGTGGTTCCGCACTCCTCCCGCGACAAGGTGACTGTTCGCATTCTGGGTGGAAAGAATAAGAGTGTTTTGGAGTTTTCCACAGAGGAGCTGATCGGTATGTTTTTTGCCTACTTGAAGCGAATAGCTGAACGTGGCCTGAACGGTGAGCCGCTGCGTCACCTTGTCGTGACTGTTTCAGCCCACGCTTCACTGGCGCAGCGGCAAACATTTGTGGATGCTGCGGCTGTTGCGGGCCTGCGTGCGGTGCGGCTTGTGCACGGCACCACGGCAGCGGCTGTGCAATTGGCACACCTCAACATTGAGCAGTTTTTTTCATCGGCGCGCGAACAGGGACCAAAGTACATCATGGTGTACGACATGGGCGGTCGACGAACGGAGGTTGCAGTGTATGAGTTTGCACCTTCTCGTCAGAGGCTTGGAACGATCACGCTGCGTACGGCGATTGTCAATAACACACTTGGCGGCCGTGCCTTTGACCGCTGCATTGCCCGCTATATTGAGCGGGAACACTTCCCAAAGGCGAGGCCTAAGGCCATCGAACCCGTTCTTGGAGTCTCCAAACCGGCTGCACGGAAAGCGGCTGTTAGCTTAATGCGAGCGGTTCAAAACGCGCGGGAGCGGCTCTCTGTGAATCAAGAGGCCCCTGTCGTTGTGCAGGGCGTTCAAGAGGGAGACAGCGGTGACTTCACCACCATTATCTCACGTGCCGTCTTTGAGCAGGAGTGTGCTCATCTCTTTGACGAAGCCGTACGTCTGCGTGACGAGGCGATTGCGCAGACGAAAGGCATCGTGTCATCTGTGCGGGAGTTGACACGCTTTGAGGTGATTGGTGGCGCTACACGCATGCCTAAACTTTTGGAGCGCCTTAGCGACGGGTACGGCAGGGCGGTGGACCGAACTCTCAACAGCGACGAGGCAGCGGTAGTGGGCGCCTCATACATGGGTGCTGCACGGGCGAACATCCCCATTCGCGGTTTTGCGGTGGTGGAGCCACTGATGAATGATGTCTGGTTTTCACTCACGCCTTTGCTTCAGGACCCGAGAGACGCAGCGGCGCCACCTCGCAACAGCACCCGACACCTTATTTTCCCTAAGGGCAGCACAATTCTGCCGGCTGTGCGGTCCCTTCAGCTGAAAAACCGCACCGCTGACTTCACGCTAACATTAGAGGATGAAAGTGGGCATTTTACCCGGGCGACATTTATTCGCGGTGTCAACGAGAGTATTATTGCGGCACAGCTATTACCGCAGTCTCTTCGTGCGAGTGATGGGGCGGGAAAAAAAAGAAAGGAACGCTTGTCACTTGAGCATACGGAGGTTATGTTGGAGGTGACAGCAACAGAGAGCGGCATTCCGTTTGTGTCCAATGCGTACTTGCATGCCACATATTTGAAGGTGACAGTAGCGAAAGAGCCCACAGACACCGTACAGAATGAATCGAATGCTGGTTCCGCCGCGGGGGAGAACGCGACGGACGCTGAGGCCCCCAATGGGACCGAGAAATCTTCGAAGCTTCAGCAGCCCGACGAGTACCCCGGAGAGGAACAAGAGGGACAGCAGCAGCGTGACTTGGGAGGGGAGGAGAAGTGGGATGAGCGACAAGAAAAGGCGGTAGAGGAAGAAGGAGAAGAGGAACGGAAAGAAAATTATAATGTTAGTGATCAATCAAGTGAGAAGGAAAGTAACACCAGTGAAGCCACGGCTCCACGCGCAGAAGATAAGTCCGCGGAGAAGGAAATTGTCGAACGCGTGGTACGCAGCTTTCCCCTGAGTCTTGTTTCGGTACCCCTATCAGTTGGTGTCAATCTCAATAAATTGGAAGCGGCTGCTGCACGAGATCGTCTTTACGCCTTTCAACGGGTTGACGATGAGCGGCTGATGCGAAGCGCCCTTCGAAATGATATTGAGACCCTCATTCTGCACTACAAATCCCTTGATGCGTGGGACAAGGCGGTGGAGAACGAGGGTGAGGCCAACTGGAGGGAAGTTGTGAAGGAGGTGGAGCAGTGGCTTGATGACACCAGTGACAATGTTGAGATATCAGAGCTGCAGAGGCAACAGCAACGGATGAACAAGCTGCAAATTGGGGGTGCTACGACTGGCTAACTGCTGCTGGGAATATCGGTTTCGCGGAAAAGGGGATTCTCCATCTCTCTCTCTCTCTCTCTGTGTGTGTGTGTGTGTGTACGTCCATCACTTGTATTTTATTTTGTGGCTGGCAGGTGAAGTGAAATTTTTTGGTATTTATTTATTTATTTTTATTTTTTGCTCGCATTTTCCCGGGTACATTCACGCACCTAAGTTTCTTTGCATTGGTGTGTTTCTTTTTGCTTTGGCGTACATACGCACCTTTTTTCCGTATCTGCAGCATCTTGCACGGAGGGAAGTTGAGGGGCAGAGAAGGAAAGAAAAAGGCGGGGGAGGAGAAGAGGCCGGATATAGCCTTGGGGAAATATTTTTATTTTTATTTTTTGACTGACGGAGACATTAGCGCTGCAATGCTTCGAAATTCAAGTCGTCGATGGATCCCTGTGATAAACCGCACAGCGCGGGATTCCCTTTGCGCTGCTACGATCGATCACTGTACGCCCGTTGTTTATTCGTCGCTACCAAACGGCTGCCGGGTGGCGACGGAATATTTCCCCAGCTGCCAGTTTGCCACAGTCGGTGTTTGGATCGATGCGGGTAGCCGCTTTGAGGACCTGCGGAATAACGGTGTCGCCCATTTCTTAGAGCACATGAACTTCAAAGGCACTGAAAAGTACTCCAAACGAGCAGTAGAGGATCTCTTTGAGCAGAGCGGAGCTCACTTTAACGCTTACACCTCGCGTGACCGCACGGCGTATTACGTGAAGGCTTTTAATGAAGATGTGGAGCACATGATTGATGTGGTTTCGGACCTGCTGAAGAACGGCCGGTATGACCCGCGGGATTTGGAGTTGGAGAGACCAACGATTCTGGCGGAGATGCGGGAGGTGGAGGAGCTCGTGGACGAGGTGCTCATGGACAATCTACACCAGGCGGCATACGACCCCATCTCCAGCGGTCTTCCCCTCACCATACTCGGTCCTGTTGAAAACATTTCCAAGCACATCGATCGTGAGATGATTATGGAATTTGTGCGGGTGCACTACACGGGCCCTCGCATGTGTTTTGTCTCCTCCGGCGGCATTCACCCCGATGAGGCACACCGACTCGCGGAAAGGTTTTTTGGCGATCTCCCTGCGAAAAACAATCGACCACCGCTTCAGGCGCTTTACCGTGGCGGACACACTGTTATGTGGAATGAACAGATGGCGACGGCGAATACGGCCGTTGCTTACCCTATCTGTGGTGCTTCGCATCCAGATAGTTATGCGCTGCAGCTAGTGCATAACGTTATTGGGCAGTTCCGAGAGGGTCAACACGATCAGTTTGCGTACCAGCACCTTAATCCCAAACTTCCATGGGAACGACTACCAAATATGGTCCAAATGCGTCCCTTTTACACGCCCTACGAGGAGACCAGTTTGCTTGGTTATCAACTCATCACGACACCCATGCTTCCTACTGACTCGGCTGTCTCGCATCGGGACGAGAGCCAAGACAAGTTACTCGACTATTTGCTACAGACAATCAATGAGTTAGCGGCCACCGCCGTAGATGAAGCCATATTGGAGGGGGCGAAGAGTGAGTTTAAGGCTTCCGTCATGATGATGCGGGACAGCACGACAAATAGCGCGGAGGATTTGGGACGGCAGATGATTCACTTTGGTCGCCGCGTGCCCATTCGGGAGGTTTTTGAACGGGTGGATGCGGTGACACCGGCTATATTCCGTGACACACTGGCGAAGTACACTTCTTCGACAGTTCCAACAGTGTCTTACATTGGCTCTGCGAGTGCGGCACCTCGCTTTGACGCTGTGACGCAGATGAAGCAGAGAACAGGCAATGCGCTCTGAAGAGGTGTGAAGTTGATGGAGGGAATGGGGGAAAGGGAAAGAAGAAGGGGTGAAGTAGAGAATTGAGGGAGGGCGACGGCAACAACAGCGGGAGAAAAACAACAGCATCACAGACCAAAAAAAAAAAAAAAAAGGTTGCATGAGCGCACTGAAGTAAAATGTGTCGTCTGGTGTAGTGTGAGGAACGGGTGGAAGGATGGAGGAGATGTGTCGGTAAGAGAGTGTGGGGGCGGAGGTAAAAGGATGAGCCCTTTTTTGCTGTTCTCTTTTTATTTGCTGTGGATAACCTTCTGTGCCTGCTTCCTCTTTTTTTTTTTTCTCTTTCTCCCTCCCTCTCTCTCTCTCTCTGTGTGTGTGTGTGTTTGTGGCTAGCGTCGTATTTACCAATGAGAGCGTCCGTGCTAAAGATATGGGGGAGCGGATGAGTTCTCTCGTCCAGTTTTTACGTGTCGCGGTTGGTATACGAGCGGTTTGTTTTGGAAGAGTACAAAAGAAAAAAAAAAAAGAAAAAATTTGAAAGCTGTTTTTTTGCAAAGTCCTTCTTTGTTTTTCACGCAAGGAACCGAATTCGTCAACTAAAAGGAGGAGGAGTGCAGTAAATGATTTGTGTGGGAGGGCGGCTGCGTAGCGGCGGTCTGCGTGTGAGGTGCTGCACCCAAATGTGACGTAAATTCTTTTTTTTTTTTGGCTTTCGTATTTCCTTCTTTCTTTCCTTTTTTTTTTTTTTTTTGACTGGTGGCAATTGTGGTGTGAACAAACGCACTGCTTTTGATGCCGGAACATTTGTGACCGGAGGAAGTAAGGGAAAGAAGGCGCGATTTCTGTGGGGGGATTGGTTACCTCGGGGCATCGTGCTTTGCTGTGAATGCATGAAGCGGGACGAATGGTTTGCCGCGCTGCAGAAGCTGCCGTTGGTACCGTGTGGAGAGAGCACCGGGCTGCCACGGTACCGCGCGGTGGAGGCGTACCACTGCACATTCTGCGCCTACACGGTTTGTGCTCGTTGTTACAACGCGGTTCCGACGATGCTTCTTTTTCCATCCCGTGATGCATCTGCTGCGGCTGGAAGAGGCTTCCTTGGGCCGCGGCGGGGAGACGGAGAGGTGGAGGACACTTTTTCAACGAACGACGGTTTGCTGCGTCCAAACACTGCGGACGATGTGAATTTCAGCCGACCTCGTTGTTTTTTGTGCCGCAAAGGGTTATTGGTGCATGAGAATGTGCCTGTGCACGAATGGACGTGCGAGGGGCCACGACCGGCGCGTCGCCTTCAACGTGGTGCTGGGGCGTCGTATGACATGGACGTTGTGCAGCGGTATTACACAATGAAGGAGCAGCGGGAAAAACGTGCGCTCTCGCAGGCACCACTCATTGCCCATTTTCACGCCGCTGAAGGACCACCCACACATGTTGCTTTTTCCAGTGTGGTGGGCGAGGAAAAGGATGATGTCATCGGTAATGGTCCTTTGAATCGGCGACCCTTCTGCGTGGAGGGTGGAAGCTTTGTTTTTTCCGTACAAAATCCTCGGATGGAGGTGTCGTGTGTGTGGTGTGGTGTGGACCGACGTCTGAGTGAGGCACACCCGTCGTTTGTGGGGGATGAGACGATTACACCACTGCAGAAGTTTCACTGCCCGCCATCTCTTCCAGGGCTGCCGCCGCGGCGCTTTCGCGTCCGTGTCCCATATGGGGTGTATGGGCTGCACAACGTGCACGCTCTTGCTCTGTATCTTACGAATGATATTTTCCGTAAGGCCACGACGAAGTTACAATTGACAACCGCAGACGCGTTGACGGTGGAAGAGAACGAAGAACCTCCGCCATGGCGACGAGGGCAGCTGAGGACAGGAAAAGTACTTCCACGTCACGCGGTACATCCGCTTTTGGTTGTGGACGTTCTTCACCGCATTGCCACCAGCGATCCAGAGTGGGACCTTCTCAGCGTTGAAGCATGTGCAACGTGTGTGTTAAACGCTGCTGTGGGCCCCTTGAAGTGCCAGAAGGGGTGTCAAGGCGTGACGGAAGAAAAGGCAACGGTGGAGGCCCACGCTGTTGAGGAAACGACTAGCAATAATAACAACAACAAAAACGACGACAAAAACCGCGGTGATCATGATGCTTTAAGGAAAGATGGTGATCACAATGATGAGCCGCGCGATGGGTCAATTAATGAGGCTGCAATGCTCAATGACAGGCGTGGGGTTGGCCCACCCTTGACCTGGCCCAGTGGGTTGAGGTGCGACGAACTACTTTTGACTCTGGACCACCTGCTGCAGGGTCGGTCCGTTGCCGTGTACGGCATCGCATCTAAGTACTTTTTTCTTCAACACGTGTCCCAGTGCGCTGAGTTGCTTCACTACGGGGTTGCGGTGGCCGACGGGTACCGCACATCCGCCTCCTGCCTCATAACTCAGTTTCGCGAAATTAGAAAATATCTTCGGCAATTACAACAGGGGTCGGAGCAGGCAATGCTGCGGAGTTTTGTTTCCCATGATACCAACTGTGAGTCACTGGAGCTTGAAATGCGCTCCAAGGCCCCTGAGCGAGACCACCAGCAGGTGGAGGGTCAGGATGAGGAACGGGAATATTATTTAATAGACGTGCCTACAACGGAGGAATCCCCTCGAAGCCAATCGTACCGCGCCCCGCTACGGAGCCGTGTGGGGGGAGAGGGAGTGAGCCAATCACGTCAATGCTGTAGGGAGTTGTCGGAAGATAAAAACCTGCTCCTTCCTAAAGAGCGAGAATTGGGGGAAACACCGCTGGTGTGTCAAGGAGCGGAATGCATGACTCCCTACTCCCCTGCACCCTGCGCAAAGCCTCGGGAGAGATCCATTCTTTTGGTGCGTGGGGAAGAAGCCGAAGACGAGGAGGCGAGAACGCCTTTGGCAGCCAAACCATCACGTTCTTATCAACCGCAACAGCAGCTGCAACAAGAAGAGAAGGAGCGAAAGGTTCGAGCACAGCCTTTCTCTCAACATGATACGGGGTTGGATGGAAAGGCATCTGCATGGTCACGACGGCATTGGCTTCGTGAGCATTCCGACTGGAACTATGATGTGCCGTTGCACGTTGCGTACGGTATGAAACGCCCCCGTGAAGATGGGGGCAAGGAGAAGGTCATGGAAGACGAGGTTTCTTTGGTGCAGCCGATTCAGGGTCGACGGTCGCGTCCTCCGCGGATCACCGTCTCCTCGCCAGAGGTTATGGGGTCCCTCCGTCTAGCATGTCGTGCGCCTCTTCGGAAATGCATTGCATGGACGTGCCTACCGTCGATTACGGCGCATCGCCTTGTTTCGGCCACAGAGCCTACCATGACGCTGGCCCTGAAAGGCAGTGCTCCTGTCGGAATTATTATCTTGCATGGCGTGGATCAGCTTGATACACCGGCCCTGCTTGAGCTTCAAGCAATTGCACGGGAACACCCGTATCGTGTTGTCCTTCTGTGTTCATTTGATGACCCCAATTGGCTGCTGTCGAGCGCTGCGGGTTTGTTGGATTCGTTTCGTTTGAATTGTATTCACCTTCGATCTCTTCTGCTCCCACGGGTGCGTGAGATGTTGGCTATTAACAGCTTGTCACTGCTCACAGAGTTGGAGGCTCCTGCAACGGAAGCTGGGAGGTTCAGTCGGTACGCCAATCGCAAAGGGACCTTTTCTTCAGGCGTTTCTTTGCCGTTGCATGATACTATTCGGCGCATCCTGTTTAGTCTGCCTTCTTCCTTTAGTGAGCTGCTGCGGTGCATGATTAAGCGCCAGGAGGCTTCCGGCGAAAATGTTTTCATCCCAATGAGTTTGCATCAGGAGAATTTTGACGAGTGTGGGATGATGATTTCCATGGCCCGCCTGAAGGCGATTGAACGTGAGCTCACATCCAACCGTCTTGCCGTATTTAATTCAGCGGAGAACAAATTGATGATTCCCCAGCACCGAAAACTATTGAAGGTCCTGGAGGAGGTGTTGGAGCAAAGGAATGCAGTCGGGTGTGCATCCAATGGGGCTGCCCCAGTGGAGACGTAGTTCCAACAACCGTGCCCTTTTCTCTTTTTCTCGCTCTTTTTCTTTCCATTATAATATTTTTATTTGTTTGGTCGTTCTTGCCTTTTCATCGACGGAAATTATGACACATGCGATCTCTGTTGGGTCTACCACGGGCCTATTTGATGTTTTTTTGGATGTGGTGGTACTATCCCCGCCCCCTCTCTCACTTCTTTGAGGAGGAACCCAAACAATTCTTTCCATCTATTTTTTTTTCTTCTTTCCACCGCTGGTTGGATTGTATGCCTGTTTGTGTTGTTCTTCTCTCCCCTTCTTTTTTTTCTGTTTTTAAGCAGCGGTCCTTTTTTTTTTTTCCTTCTGGTTTCATTGCGCGGGACGCCCAATCGCAGCCGCGCTGTTTGATTGCAACACTCCGTCTCATCGAGTAGTGTTAAGTGAGTGAGAAAGAGAGGAAGAGGCCGCTCACGGGGGTACTTCCGTCATTTTTTTTTTTTGTATTTTCATATTAATATTATTGTTAGCAGTACTTTTAGTTCTAGTTGGTGAGCATCACCGGCAACATCGCGGTGGTACGCCATCATTTATATTTTTACGTCTGCGGAGAAGTGGAGTGGAGTGGCGACAACAAAAGTGAGTCACGAACAAGAAGACAACAACAACAGGAGGAAGAAGAGGAGGTGAATTAGAAGATAGCCCAACTGTGTTATTATTATTATTATTTTTGTGCGTGCGTTGGGGGTTCAGGAGAAAGAAACAGAAAAAGGAACAAAAAAGAGGAAAATAAAATAATAATAATAATAAAAAAAAGAGGGAAATGTTCGCAGTGAACTTGTTGGATGCTTTGGCGGAGGCAGCCGTTCTTCTCATGTTTGATTTGGCTCCAACCTCCACATGCGGCGATGAGGACAGCGATGGCGACTTCGGCAGGGCGCGATTTACAGGGGTGAACAGCTGGAGTTCGTTGGACTCCTGCATCCCGCGAAGTCATATGAATGCAGTGACATCCGTAAACAACAGTACGTTGACCCCACCACAATCCCCGTCAATTGCCAGCGGCAGTTTTGTACAATTGACCACGGAGGAGCTTCAGACGTCGTTATTAGAGTCGCCAATAGGTGGCTTAGATCACCATTGCCGGAGCACGGAGCATGAACGTGGCAGCAGTCTGGCAAGCACGATTTCCGGTTGGACTGTACCTGTACGGTCACTTCGGCCAAATTAAATTTTTTTTTGTGTTGTATGACCTCCTGCGATTCACCGACAGGATGCATATGGGTGTACATGAGACAAAGGCAAGAAAAACAACAAAAAGAGTAGATCTTGAACCCAAAAAAAGAAAAAAAAAAGATTTTATTATTGTTTTTTTTTTTTTTTTACTCTTACCAGTGCGTCATGTCGATCTTGGTGAGCGTACGATGGAATTCAGCAGCAATGAATAGCCCTACTCCGCGGGCAGCCATTATAGAATGGCTCCATCATATACCCTTCCGGCCCGTAAAACTAAGTTGACAAGTACGCATCTGGTTTGAAGCATGAACAGCAGGCACCTAGCCTCCTCTCTAGCAAAGAGCCCTGGAACCTGGCACCACGTTAAGGTGGCCGGCTGCGCCAGGGAGTTTATTATTTTCGTAGTTACTATTATTATTTGATACAGTGCGCTTTTATAGGTATGTATATGTAGCGAAACAAGGACGGTGGAAATGGAATGACTCTGCTTTTTTTTTTTTCAAAAGTTGTTCTTTTTTTTTTTGACGTGGAGTTCCCGTATGGATCGAATTTTTCTCCTGCTTGTGTGTGTGTGGCTGCGCTACTGGCCTTGTGTCGTCTTCTTTTTTTTTTTTTGCTTGCGAGACGGAGTAATGCCTCAAATATTTTGTTTTCTTCCTTCTCTCTGCATTTCTGTTTGTGTGTGGTTGAGTGCCTGTTGGAGTGTTGAGGTTGAATATCGTCTGTCGGGGAGACCGACGGGGGGAGGGAATCGATTCCCTGAAACTTTATTTTCATTCGGAACGGCACATGATGCCCACTCACCGAGTCGTGGCTTTCGGGCCCCTGAAATTGTCGTGCGACGTGTGGGGCTGAACCGTCGGCAGGGCGGAGCTCTTGACAGCCCGGGCGGCAAACTTCAACGGCCGCATGCGGCACCCCCGGATTTACGCCGGGAAGGCGGTTGAGAGACGGACTCCTTTTGGCTGCGCAGGCTTTCGTGCCTCTCGTCATTCTTCTTGGGAGAAAATCGGCTGCTCTGCGGGCACTCGGGACACCGCACTGTTCGTGCCCTGCTGGATTGCGTCCTCTCATTTCTTTTTACGGTTGCCGTCTGGCGGCACGAGAGTGGCTGGGACGATGTGCCCGGAGATGTGAGGAATGGGCGTTGGCGCGGGGATGAGTGGTGTCGATGCGCGTTAACGAAGTGAGCTCAGCACCGACTGTGAACGTTGCTTTGGTTTGGCTTCGTGTTCTACTTTTGCTTTTTTGCATGCATGGCCTTTAAAGCCCGTCCGTTTTTTCCTTGGAATTTTTATTCTTTGTTTTCCAGTTTGTTTGTACACTTTTTTGCCGGTAGTTGGAGGACTTTAGGCGGGGTATAAGGACGCGGAGCAGAGACAAACGCGGGGGAAAAATGGAACCCCGAGCCGAGGAAAAAGAAGAGTGTTCGCCGGTCTTACATGAGAAGGAAAGAGGCGTGGGGCAATCAGGTCGAATAGGGGAAGTGGGGCGTGAAGAGGCGGGGTCTGCAGCCGTCGTTGACTCGCCGCGGCAGGGGATGTCCTCGCGTGAGCTTGGCTGTTCTTTGCCGGCGGCCCACGGTGCATCCCGTCGCAGTTCGAGGAGCATGTTTGAGCAGGTAAAGACGGTCAGACAAGAGTTGCAAGAAAAGGTGTCGAGGCTTCTCGGGAGGAACGGAACTGTGGTGAGGGAGTCGCAGCATTCTCCCGGAATGTACACCGTGCGTCAGTTTCAAAACAACTTGGCGTGGGCCATTGTCTCGAAAGACACGGTTCGATTTGATGAACTTCTAAATAAATATTTAGATTGCTGCAATGAGGGCAAAATTGTGGGCATTGCTGGTAGAACGTCACCGCGTGAGAAGCATGAAAACACTGCGGCGGACGCCGCCATTAGCGTTTCTGTTGGGAATGAGCGTTCTCTTGTGGATCGTGTTTTCCACCATGAAACGGGCTACACAATGACGCATCTCGCGGTGGTGTCAGGGATAGAGAGTTTGCTGCGTAGTTGCCTGGCGTTTGGCAGCGCGGTCCACAGATACGAGGACCTCAATGGGGACACTGCCCTTACCTTGGCATTGTGGTTGCAGCCGGAAATGGCATTTGCGATGCTTGACCTGGGAAAGGATGTGGACATCACACGCATCGGCGCGAGAGGACGTAATCTTTTGCACAGTGCTGTTACTCTCCGCCAAGAAACGCCTCCATGGGAGTCTCGTTTGGAGTTTATTCAAAGAATTGTGGAGCAGGATAATTCATTGGCGTCGCAGAAGGACTTTTTTGGCTTCACGCCGGCAGAGTGGGCCCTTGAAAACGCCGCATATTTTTCATCCAAGAAGGAATTTATGCAAATTGTTGAGTTTCTTAGGGGAGTGGATGCAGCGTATAGGGAGTCGATGAAGCGAGTATCCGACGCCCAAACGACGAGTGGAGACGTTGAGTTGGAAAGGATTTCGTCACGGGGAAAGGAATCCGACCAATCACGCACTGTACACCGCGAGACACTTTTCTTGGATCGTATGCGATTCATCTTCGAGGGTCCGCTGACGCGTCTTCTTTCAATAGCTTTTCTCTTGTTATTGCATATCTTTCTCTACGCCGTTGACGTGGCGGATCGTGGACCGGGTGCACAATACCGTGACGCGCGATGGGACTTTTGGTTTACGGCCTTCAACAACATTGCCTCCTGCTGGAATGGTTCCGCCTTTTTTATGGGAATGACACACGCCGGCTGCGTCTTTGGATGTGCTCTCCTGGGCGCCTGCGTGTACCTCTTAGTATTTCACGTGCTGTTTGGTAGAATTATCATGCGCTTGCCGATTTGTGGGGCACAGTCTCCTGCAGAATGGCGGTTGATAATAAAATCATTTGGAGATTATTATTTTTCAAGTGATGTGGGTCGACAACGTGGATTTTGCTTTGCCATGGCTATTGGTGGTGTCCTCGGCATATACGGTGGAGCCAAGTTATACAATGCACTCTTGTATCGTTTTTGGCCGGGGCAAGTGTCATGGGCACTCATCCGCCCGATTATCTCCGGAGTTGACACGGTAACGGCGCTCCGTTGTTTTTGGGTGACGTCTCTCTTCATTGATTGGTACATATTTATGTTTGTCTTTGATATCATGTATCAGCAAGGTTCACTCAACATTTATTTGCCTCATCACACCTTCGGTGGTTTTGCAGCGTCGATCAACGGGACATGCTTCTGGAAGAGGAAGAAGCAGCTTGGGGAGAATAGCATTCTCGCTCTTCGTATGGGGATTTACTGGACCCTTCTTATCTTTGGATGGACTGTGATTGCTGCTGTCTTTCTCACTTTGGAGTTCCTTTGCGGTCCTGCCAAGGTGCTGTTTGCGAATCCACTTATCCCGGTGACTTCTCTCGAAATCCCAGTGGGGGTTGGTTGCCTTTGTATACTCTTGGAGTTTATTATTGTGGCACAGGAGTGGACGTGGCCGACATTTCAAGGGCATCCGCACTTGTTTTTTCCTGGAATGGTCGTTGCCACCCATCACGTCTTTTTTCTCTTCCTGGTCCTCATTTTTCAGTGTAGCCTCGACATCCGCATTGTTTTGGCGCACATTCTACTACTAAAAGATCGGGAGGGTGGATTGTCACCAAAGGGTGCCGTGCGCCTTTGCATTGCCCTCATTCCTGCCATGCTTGGCGTAATATTGCTGTTACTTGTCATTGTTCGATCTTCCCTCTGGTGGGAAATGTGTGGCGCAGTTGGAGATGCCATTGGGCTCTACTCGGAGCACATGTATCTTCGGCCATGCCCACCGCCTTCTGAGGAGGTGCAGAGGTTAGCGGAGCGTGAGAATGAGAAGTTTGTTCGTTTGCACTCCCGCTCGTTGTATTGCAAGGCGGAGCAGGAAAATATGAAGGAGAAACTCCGTGTTCGCAAGGCCATTAAGCGTGTTGGGCGGCAGATACACGCAGGGGCAAAAGAGCGGGACGGATTGTTGCGGCGAGAGAAACGGCATGGCGATAGGAATACCACAGCAGCGGCGGCGTGGAATAACCCCTCGTCGGATGACTGCTTTATTTCTCTGAGCTAGTGCATCATCGTTTTTTTTTTTTTACTTTTTGTTTGGTTTGTGTTGTTTCTTTTATTTCCATTGTGCAGGGGTGTATGCGAATAATGAGGGAGGGTTTGTGTGTGTGTGGGAGTGCGGGGCACATTTTTTTTTTTTCTCTTTTTTTTTTTTTGTTATTTTTATTGGCGTTTGCCAGCGGATTGGGAAGTGACACTATCCGGGCCAGAGGATGTCCCAGACGAATACCCATGCATGCCAGCTCAACCCCCACGCACGGGTTTGGACTCCCAAAACTCATGATGCACTCGCCGCGTTTTCCAATGAAGACGCCGCCGCCCTTCCGTCGGCTCCGGAGGCGATGTGCCACCTGGGGCGCATTGGCGCCGCAAATGAGGGGAGACCAATGGCTGACGATCCCCTTTTCGCCGCCGCAGCTGCATTGGGGGATTTTTCCCATTTTTGCATGCAATATTCCTTGATGATGGCGAGGCAAAGTTACCGCAACTTCTGTTGCCATTGGCAGATGCAAAATTACGGTCAGTGCGTGGCAGACTACGAGGATGACGGAGATTACATGTCCCCACCGACTGTAGCAGCGTTTTGTGACGCGCCCCTTTCAAGAGGACTCCCTACGGATACCCATACAAACTCAGAAGTTGCGATTGATAATTTACAGAACAACCCCTGCATTGAAGCTGCGTTAGTACAGAAAACAAAGAATCATCACTTTTCATTTTCTCCCTTTCTTCCTTTTTCTCATCCTCCTCATTTTTTTGACTCTTTTTTGGCCCCAAATATGGGGGAGATTGACACGATGAATTCTTGGCAACGCGGCACGTCGCCGTCTTGTTATTCTTCCTGCTTGTTATGTGGGAAAGATGACCACTATTACTCGGCCTGCCAACTATTTGATGGCAAGACCGTATGCTTCATCGATAACTCAGATTTTGCCGTTTATGCCATGCGACACGATCATTGGATTGAGAGTGCCACAATAAGTGATGTCTATTTATTTGTTCGCTTGGCAGTTGGAATTTTTCCGCATCATGCACTTTTGCATGTGGGTTCCAAAGAAATAATTCTTGAGGATTATCCTCTGGAAACACTTTGTTGTGATTTGCGGATTTTTCCAGGGGTTGTCGTGAGCGTGTCTGTGCGCCAACCTCCTTTCGAGACAAACGTGGCGCCGTTGCGGTTTCACAATACACGAATTGCGGCCAAGAGGGAACGTGGACAACCGGAAAATACCTGTGACGTGGAAGAAACAGTGGGTGATGCGGCGTTAGATGCCTCCACAATTGCAAGGACATCAGAGCTTTCTGTCTCACTCCCTTTGTTCGAGCCTCAAGCAGATGTCGGGGACCATGCGGTGGCAGAATCCATAACTGGAACTTCAACAGATTTCATTGAAGGCGAGAACACTTCCTTGAGCAAGGGAGGTGATACCGCCGTGTCTTTCCCAAAGGAGCCGCGTCATGATGGCAATGATTTGGGCAACCCGCGTACTCCTATGGCGAAACAGGAAGGTTCAACGGTGGTATCCACAGTTTCAGTGACTTCTGTCGCTAAATCTTCTTCTTGTTGCTTCTCGACGAGTGATGCTTTTGAAACCTCTGGGAGTCATCTCAATTGTGTGGACATTGTACGCAAAGATAACCGTTGCAATGAGCAACCATTGGCTGCCACTTCTGCAGAGGTGACGAGAATGAAACAGTCTTCTGACGCAACGGCAACTCATGCAACAATTCCCACCTCTCCGGGCAAACTGGCACCCATGGATGAGGTCATTGACGATGAGGAGTTGCGTCTCCGACGCACCGTACACGTAAGGTTTATACCTGTACAGATGCCATTTGCGGAAATACGAATGCTTCTTTGGTCATGCGGCGAGGTGCATAAGGTGCGGCTGGTGAAGCCCAGCGAGACAACAAGCCCGAGACGAATGTTTTACGTATGCTTTGTCGAATATGCGACAGATGAAGGCGCAGAAAGGATGAAGAAATTGCAGGGACATCGTTTGGGAGAATTTTTTCGTTTGGCCGTGGAGGGCAGTCGACATACAATTCACGGAGGCTATTTCACAGATTTCGAGGCGCACACGGGCAGACCGTGTACATTTGGCCTGAGAGAAGCCGAGAGACGTGCAGTGGAGAGGCGTTATTTTGGGGTTTGTGACGGTGGTTCTGATGCTGCGTGTAAAGGCGGCGGTGGGCCGAAGAGCGGTGCCCCAAAGAGTACTTGTTGGCGGAGAGGAAAAGAACGGGGTGCCAAGGCGTGCCTGGACGCTCCTGTCGCCCTCACTACTATGAACACTGCTGAAACCCAAGAAACCGGCAGCGACAAGGGCGAAGGCAAGGCGAAACGTGAAAAGTGCGTCGGTGAAACTGGGCCATATTCTCTTCGAATTGTTTCTGCATGTGAACTTGTGGGACGGTTGCGACGAGGTGGACGTCGACGTCGGGACGCCGTCGCTGGGGTCGGTGGTGGGGCGGCAGCAGTACCGGCAGCGCTTTCAGATGTTTTGGGTCGTGGTGTGGACATGAGTGATGAAAAATTTCTACAGGATTGTTTGCATGATTTTGCCTCTCGTTATCTGCAGCAGTTGACGCCACGAAGCGTTTTTGAATTTCTCGTCTTGTTAGAAGGATGCAAGTACTGTTCTGCGACTCCCACATTCTTCCTGCTCCTCGCGAGATATGAGGTGGCATTGCTCCTGCACTACGCTCCTTTTCGTACTCTGGAAGGCGTCGCAGTGACCGCCGCGCGGGCGATTCATTGGGGAAACGATTTCACGCAGGTACTGAAGGATGGTACCAAGAATGGCGCACGTATTGCCCCCATTTGGCACTCTTTGTTTACATCCATACCCCCGGCTCGACAACCATTTCGAGTGCCACGTTACGATGATCAAAAGGGCAACGAATTGCCGGGAAGCAGAGGAGAATTGCGGCTTTACCCGTGCTGTGGTAAAGTGCTGCGTTTTGTGGAGCTCTTACTTCATATTTCTCTTTTGCTTGACGATTTTCAGTCCAACACTCCCCAGAGAAACGGAGGGGTAGAGACGGACCCGGCTGTTTTGCTGGCTGCGCCTTCAGCAAAATGGAACGACGTGACTCATGTTGCTCAGAAGATGTTGTCATGCGCCCGTTGCCTGTTGACACAGTTACTGGCTGAGATTGTCAGTGAAGGGGATGATTTGTCTTCTGAATTACCCGTTTGGCGCAGCAAAGTGTCACAGATCTTGAAGTTGCTGCCGCCGGAGAGTGGATTGAGCACCGGCTCTCTCGTGAGCGCGTTTCTGCCAGGAAGGAAGCAGATTGCAGTGGCCGTGCTGGCATCAGAGAAGGAGTTGTTTAATTTTTAAATTTAAGTTTTTACTTATCAACGTTTGTTTTCCTTTTTCATTTTTCCTTTTCTTTTCGTTTTTTTTTTTTTTTACTTTTCGGTAAAAAAAAAATATATATATTTTCCCCTTTTGACTTGTTCATTTGGACAAGGCAATCGTGTGTTTCTTTCTTAAAAACTTCCCCCCCCCCCCCCGCGTGGTGTGGGCAGAGCATCGGACGCGGAGTGCGCAGCTGAGGAACAGAACAGAAAAAGGGTATGAAGGACGCATGTTTTTTTCGTGTTCCTTCTTTCTCCCCTTCTCCGTTGGCTGTGCGTTTGTGTGTTTGGGGTTCCATACGTGGATTTCCCTGTCTGTGTCCGTATCTGTGCTTTCGAAACACTTTTTTTTCCTTTTTTTTTTTGCGCCTTCTCACTTTTTGAACAGATTTTATTATTATTATTTTTGTTTGGGAGCATGTGGGGGGAACTTCGCTCACGAGATGTTGTAACCAAAATATCTTTTTGCGGTTCGACGTGGGGGCCCGCGGAGGGTGTGTGCGACCGGAATGTGTGTGGGGTGGGGAAGGAGGAAAAAGAGGCAGGTGGAAGGTGAGGATGAAATGAAGGGTGTTGTGGGCGCGATGTCTTCTGTCCCGCTCCTTTTACTTGAGGCTTTTTTTTCCTGCCGTCCCATCCACAACCACCACCTTCTCTGTTGCCCTCCACGCTGAGGGAGGGAGTGCAACGGCTGCGGGCCCTTAAAAAAAAAGACTCCACCTTGTGAGTTTATAAGGAGCCCGGCTGCCATAACTTTTATGCATTCATTTGTTCACGGGTGTGTGAGTGTTGGATGAATTTACTTCTTAGTGTGTGGGGTGTTGGGTCAAACTGCCACTCCCCGTTGTGTCACACACACACAACCTCTCTCCCTTTCTCCGTGTGTCTTTTTTCTTTTTGTAGGAATAGGGGACAGGGTCTTGGACAGGAGCGTATACTTATATCGCCTGTAAAATCGTTTCTTTCCGGTTGCTGTACAGAAAGGAATTGAGGAGTAACCGCGTGGGTTTGTTTCTCACGCAGAAGCACTCGAGGAATTCACTACCCTGTCGTCTCCAAGGGGGAAGGGCACACCACGGACATTGCGCGCCGCATATATACGTATCAGCTTTGTTCCTGTCGCTCGTTTTTTTTTTTTTACGTTAATTTGAGTCTTTTTGGCGTTTTTTGCCGGTATTGATGAAGCGCAGCGATCGTAGTGCATCCCCGTCCGTTTTGTTGTACGAGGGCGATGGTAGCATGGCAACTCACGTCGACTCACGGATTGGGATGAACCATTTCTCCCCTTGCCGCTGGGACACAAACGACGCGGAAATTGGAGCGCAAACGCCATATTCTGAGGGGTGGAGGGGGATTAGAAATATGAATTCCGGCGCGACTGCGGTACATGCGGCGTCGAGGTTCGGTGGCCCGTACCGCTCCCTGTCACCCCAATCCCTCCCTGCTCGCAGTGGCAGCTGGCTGCCCAAGGGAGCTACCAAAACCTACGATCCGCTGAGTAGCAGAAGGGGCGGACGTGTGGTGCATAATGCAGAACTTGGCCAAGCAGTGGTGAATACTGCACATCGGTTGGAGGAAGCAGATAGAATGCGTCGGCGTCCGTTGTCCTTTGTCGTCAGGGGCGCGGAGCCCTGCGATGAGCAGCCCTATCCGTACAGCAATAGCCGTAGTGCTTCGCAGCGTTTGTGGGGCGCATCAACTTCTAGCTGCGCCGAAGCCTTTCTGGCGAATCAAGCAATTAGGCCACGAAAGATACTCTCCGCACGAGATGAACTGGGGTTGGTACTGCTTGAAGATGACGTGCCGCTGCCATTGTCGCCCGGGAGGCCTCACGGTAGTAGTGGCGGTGCTGGTGGTGGCAGCAGCAGCAGCACCGGCAGCATCCCTTTTGCACTTGTCACGATACATCCACCTGAGGGTCCGCAGAAGAGAGGATTGACGTTCAGAGAAAGTCAATTTGCTCGACAGAGTGAGGAGCCCGTTGCATGGCGACCAGAACGCACTGCGTCGAATGTCCACCGTGATTGCGCTGAGGCACGTGGGTCAGCCAGTAGTAGAGCCTTTTTCCCGAGATTGGGATGGCGGGATGTCGATGAACTGCCCGTTCCACCTGGCCCAACACTGCACTACAAGCAGCTGACCGAGGCCTTTTACGGGAACTACTCGGGCGGAATGCTTGCTCAAGAGGCCTACCTGTACTTTGTGTCCGATATAAACCGTCGGCAGTTAGTTGGTGGAAAGGGTGCCGCTCGTCGGCCGCAACAAACTCGAAAGTTGATGGGGAACAGGCGACAAAAGCCCGATGTTGCCTGTGCTTCACACGGGAGGGGTGCGGGTTATACTTTGTCAACCGACGCCGCTTCACAGGCGAAGTGGGTATAAACGCCGTCAAGAAATGCATACAGAGAAATGTTTCTGCATGGGTTTTTTTTGCTCACTGTCTTCAAAAAAAAGACTATATATATATATAAGGGGGGGGGGGGGGGGGGGAAGAATAGGGGCAGAAGAAATGAGGAAGAAAAACAGAGTGGGAATGAAAGAGGCAGGTTGTATCTTTCTAAATTGTCATAGTTTTTTCTGCTGCAGTTCCAATGGATGTTCGTCCCTTTTCTATTTTTGGTTGTGTGATGCGACGAGGGGTTCACAAGGAAGTGGTTGGTTGCGATTTGTTTTTTGGCGATGTATGTATTTGTTTGCGTGTGTGTGGATGGAGGATTGGCATGGTTTTGTACCTTTAGTATTGCAGTACTTTCTTACCAATTTTGTCCGTGCTGCCTTTTATTTACGTTTCTTTTTGTTTGATTTTTTTACTTGTTTTTATAATGTTTTGCTTGAATGCCTCTCTGACTAAGGCAGTTTTTCCCGGGGGCGTGTACCGTTTTTTTTACGCGTGGAGTGGGGGATGCGCTGCTGTCGGTGCAGGTTTTTTTTGTCTGCGTGTGTGTGTGTGAAAAGTTGATTTCCGCTTTGTGCTTTTTTCCCCCCCTTTCCGTATTCTTTTTGTGTCTGTGTCACCTTCGCGTCCCACACGGAAGAGTTCGCTTTCATCAGCCCCTCACGGCACAGGAGTGGGAGCCTGCCAAACCAAAAGCAAGCGAATACAAGAAAAAAGGAAAGGAAGAAAAGGCGAGGGGGAGAGCGGTGGGCCGCGTCATTAAATGTCAGACGTTGTCTTGCGCACGCCATTCACAATTAGGGAACGCGGGTGGCAATGCCTTGTGCGGCGTTCTCCTCCTCCCGTCTTTGCCGTGGCAGGATACAGCCCTGAGAACACCACCTGGGATGAGGTGCGCCTACTGGTGGTGGGCGCTGGCGGAATTGGCTGTGAGGTTCTGCACACTTTGGCACTGAGTGGGTTTACAGACATCACAGTTGTGGACATGGACACCATCGAACTCTCCAACCTCAATCGACAGTTTTTCTTTTCGGAGGCAGACATTGGTCGCAGCAAAGCGGAGGTAGCCGCGGCATTTGTGGAGCGGCGTTGCCCAGGTGTGAAGGTACATGTGGTATTTGGACGTATTGAGGACCAAACTGATGACTTTTATCGACAGTTTCATGCCGTCATTTTAGCAGTAGACTCCGTGGCGGCACGGCGGTGGATTAATCAAAAGATTGCGGAAATTGCCCTCTGGGAGATTGTGGATGTCGCGAAGGAAGGGCACGAGGGACGCAAGGAGAAACGTATCACCAGTTCGATTCCTTTTATTGACACCGGTACGGAGGGGTACGAGGCCTCCTGTCGTGTCATTCTCCTGGAGACGGGAAACACACCCTGCATTGAATGTGTGCTGGATCTTTACCCCCCGCGGAAGACGGTGCCATTCTGTACGCTAGAGAATGTTCCGCGGTCTCCGGAGCACTGTGTTCTATATGTGCAATTTCGTCTGTGGAAAGAACGGCGTCCGGGTGAGACACTTGATAGCGATGACAGAGAGCACATGGAGTGGATCTGCAATGAGGCCCAGCGTCGCAAGGAGGCCTTTGGTATCACAGGGCCCGACATTGACTTTTCTTTTGCACTCGGGGTTGTTAAGAACATTGTGCCAGCTGTCGGCTTCACCAATGCGTTGGTGGCCGGCCAGGCGACTCTGGAGCTTATGAAGCTGTTGACAGGTGTTGCTCCATCGATGCAAAGCTTTTCTTATTTCAACGGTGCTGCAGAATGTGGGGGGTTGACTTCATACGTGACGCCCCTCTCTCCAAATCCCTTATGCCCCGTTTGCGCCCCACGTCCTGTTCTGCTGCTCACATCTCAAATGACCCCACGACGCGTACTGGCTGCTGTGAAGGAGCAAATTCGACTTCCCACTGCTGTGCATGGGAAGTGCGAGCTTCAAGAGAGCTCATGGTCCGATGGAACATTACGGGTGCGTTTTGAGGGTGATGCTGAGGTCTGTCTCCTTTACAAGAAAACAAATCCATTGCGGACTCGCATTGTTGGATCCACCATTGAGGAGATCTTTGCGGCAAGTGGTCACGCGGATGCCTTTTCGCGGTGGTGTAGCGGGAGTGGAGTGACTTTCAACGTAGAGTACAGCTCCACGGACGTGTATTTCTCTGCCGAGGCCCTAATGTCAGGGGATGCGAGAGCATGACGTCCTTACTTATGAATTGCAGGCGGAGGAGATCATGATGCGCGTGGCGGTGGTGATGGTTGTGGTGCGGGGGGATTGAATTTCTGGATGTCTTGCTATTCTGTTTGTGAAAAGATGAAGAAAACAAATGAACAAAAACATGGGGTTTCTACTTTTTACGCGCATATTTACCATTGATCCCCAGAGGAAATGCAGAGGCAAAAAACAATCTCTCTGCGTGTTTGTGTGTGTTGGAAGCGGTGTGAGGAGACAAATTGATGGGAACGCTTTGTCGTGTAATTTTATTTCTTGTTGATTGTTTTTTTTTTTTTTTGTCTGCATTTGTTGTTATTGTTGTTGCATTTTTTTTTTCTTTGTGGAGCAGCAGCCCAGCGGGGAAAGGCGGGTGAAGTGTGAACAATGCGTTGGTTGCCGGCGCAATTGCGAGGATGTGGGACTGGGAGAAGGGACCACATTGCTGCCGTTGTAGCTCGAACCTTTTTTTTACAGCGCTGCCATGCGTCATCGACGGCGTCGACTTTTGGGGCGCGTGACGGAGAGGGGCTTAACAACCGGGACACGGGGAAGCCTCGCCGCAGCAGTCGGGGCGGGACGAGCAGCCACAGGCCAAAGTTTGCGAGGAGAGGCGGTGGAGAAGGTCAGCAACTGGGCGAGAGCAAGAAGGAAGAGGAGGGAGCCTCAGCCACTACCATCCAGGGCGGCAACAACAGCAGTGGGGGCTTTTCCCTTGGCAACGGCATGGAGGTGCAGCAGCCGGCGCTCTCACCTTTTGTTGAAGAAGATAAAATAGGGGTAAATGACGTGTTTTGTGGAAGAAATGAGGCGCGGGCCTTCAATGAGGACGCCTTGGTCTCTGCAATTGAAGGGATGCATCAAACTCTAGCGTCGACGTCGCCTCCTTTTTTTCGGGGGGCTCCCGTCGTGGGTGCCTCCAGTTGTGGTATGACGAGCAACGCGAAACTTGCAAAGGCACTTCAAAGGTGGCCGGAGGTGCTCCACCGTCTTCGGGCAATCGCCTTGCCGCTCTTGTTGAAGGCCTCCGACACAACTCCGCCGTCTGTGTCTTCCGTGGCGGAGGCATGCCAAGCTCTCACTGAAGCGCTTATTGTTGTAGATGATGTCTCAAGGACGACAGGCATGCGTGCAGAGCGCATGTTTCCTGCCACTCTAGTTGTGGCACTGTGGAGCTGTCTTCCAAGGTTTTATTTGCAAGCACAGCATTTCTCCAGAGCACCCCATGCCCATGGGTCTTTAGCACCCGCGCTGGCTGAGGGTTTGCCGTCTTTCTGGTGGGAATTCAAAAATGCCAGACGGGCGCTTGCGCTGCGCACTCGCGAGTTAAATGATTTGTTATTGCCGTCCGATCTTGTGCGGGTGTTGGTGTGCATGGAGCAATGTGGAGCACTTTCCGATGATATTATTGGCCCGATAGGGACGCAGCTGCTCCGGCGACACAAAACTTCTGCAGCTCCGCTTAATGGTCCGCAGCATGTCGCCACAAATCACCTTTTATCTGCACACTTTGTAGCGTCTGTTGTGGACAAGGAAGAATCACCGTTTCAAGGCGACACTGCGCTTGCTTTTGCCCGTTTGCTTGGACGAGCATACATAGTGAATCACTTTCAGTTGCACCGGCTCATGCACACCATTCTCCTACCCCAAGTGGTGGTGGCTCTGCAGGCCAGTGCCCCTGACGAGATCATTCTCTTTGAGTTGACGAGGTGCTATATCCGCTACGCCGTTTCGGGCAGTGCTGTATCACAACTCACAGCTTTGTGGATGCCGCACTTGTCTTGTATGACACTAGACAAATGCTCGGAGCTTCTGGGCATTTTGGGTAATGGTGGCGTTGGTCGTGTTGCCGTTGTCGCTGAAGAGGATTATTTTCCTCTGGTTGAGGCCGTTCTAAAACGGGCGTCTCTGTTGTTTCACCATGAGCATCAAAGCCGCTCTACTGGGGTGCCGCCCGCCGCCAATTTGGTGCCCGGTGCCATTGCGGATGTGAGTACGGTGGTGAGTGCTGATAGTGTGGTGAGGTTCATTTGTGCTCTTGTGACGGTGAACTCCGTCCATTGGGGGGAAATGTACGTTTTGGCAGCAACGGCGTTGGAGCGGTCACTCGATGGACTTTTCGTTTCCGATGTGGTTCGCGTTACTAGGGCGCTTTTGCGTCGTAACTCCCACATACCGTACCACTCCCTTCACTCTCGTTTGGCAAATCGGCTCCTCATTGACGAGGCGGCCCTGACGGACGTGAAAATTGGGGGTCTGTCGTTGCTGGCCGCCGCGCTGATGTCGTCGCCGTCGTCAACGCCACCTGCAACCTCTGTTTCTTCCAATAAACAATTACCGTGTGACATGCAAACGGCTGTTTTGAAGAGCCCGGGCGGCGCTGATCTCATTGGGTTGGATGGGGCTCGAGCACTTGCCGTGTTCCGACGTCATGGGAAAAGGCTGGGCTTGCGGAGCTTTGCAGCCGCAATGTGTGTGGCTCCACTGGCGCAGCTGCCACGTCGTTCTCAGGAATCTGTCATCATGCACTTTACTTCCATTTCCTCAGCGCTGGAGGTACCATGGCTTGTGAGGGGGATGATGTCGTTGACCTCGCAGATACCTGAGGCGGTGGATCCGGTTTCGGTGCAACGTTGGTTTTCACGCTTTACGGCCGTTGATGTCGCCCGCCAGTTGGACATGGAACACGCGGCGATGTTGTTGAGAATTTTGTCCGACGATGAATACAGCCGTGATTGCGCTTTGGCAAAGGAGAAAATAGTAAAGCATACCAGTACACTCTTATTACAAGAGAGTGTTTCGTTGGATGCGCTGATTCCTCTAGTTGTCGCATTGCAGCGTGCAAATGTGTTTTTCCCCCACTTGTATTCTCGTATTTGTCGCATTCTTCTTGCAAATGTGCGCCAAACACCATGGAGGCTACTTCTCCCTGTCTTTCACGTTGTGGCGGATGAGTTTACGCGAAGACCACACGGGAATGGAAGCGTTTTTCGCGATGTATGGGAGCAGCTTCGGACGCGTCTCATGGAAGAGGCGGCATCGTCGCTAGAGGCAGAGGATGTTGTTTTGGCTCTTAATGGGCTTGCGGCACTAGATGTGAGCGATCGTCGTGTGTTCTCCGTCCTGCTGCATCGACTCTGGACGATTTACCTAAGTGTTTGTGCCCCTACAGGGGCCGAGTACGGTTCTGCGACGGCGGAGACATCGCCGAAACCGGTGGTATGGATGGATAGCCTCCTTTCTGGCTGCACACCAAGCGCTCTTGCTGTTCTCATCACCACACTCATTTATACAGGCCGTGGGAAAGTCATTGATGCGTTTATGCCTTGGCTGCTGCTTCGCACTCGCCCCGTTGTGAAGGATCTCTATCCAATTGACCTGCTTCATCTCATGCCGGCCTTATTGTCTTGTTTCATTGCTGCAAGCACAATGGATGGGGATGCCAGCTGTGACCGTACCGCATGGCTATGTAGTCCTGTGAACCACACCATTCTTCACACCACGTACGATCAGTGCCGTGAGTTGTTTCTTCACATGTATGAGGATGAGGCAACTGCCAAGGATCCGACGGCAATAAGGACTCAGCGAGCAGAGTGGACTCCAAAGGTACGTGTGTCGGTGTCAAGGGTGCCGCGATACCTGTTTGCGGAGCTTCTTGTCGCACTTTGTCAGTGTGGGCTGCGTGACGAGGCCGTGGCCACGGCCTCTGCATCGCGGGTGACGCGACGGTTGTGTATGCAATTACCCGTTGCGGAATTGGTGGATTTAACCATGGCCCTCTGCTTCCACTTCCCGCCCCCACCAACACGGCTGGAAGAAGTCACGGTGAACGATGAGGGGGGCGTCACGAGGGATGAGAAGGGGGAACGCTACGAAAAAAAAAGGGAAGGGACGAATTGCATTTCTTCTTGCAAAAGTACAGAGGGAAATGATGTTGCTGCTGCGACGTCTTCAGCACCAGCCCCACACCAACGCTTTTTATTACCTGTGCTGACTGCATTGTGGGACCGGGCGGAGGAGTTGCAGTCCTCCCATGTTGATGCATTGTTACGGTGTCTGCGACATTATTACGGTGAAAAGGTTGACGCGGACTTTTTGGATCGTCTTTTGAAGCACAAGGAGGCGACGCTTGCCGGGGTGCATGCGAGTCATCGGCGGCCCCAGGACACCGCAGCGGCTGAGCAGGGACCAGCGAATTTGGATGAACCCACGGCGGAGGACCTTTTCGTGTCGTGAGTTCTTAAGGGAGGTTGAATGAGGAGGGGTAGAGATAACAGTGATCGTTGAGAGAGAGAGAGAGTGTGTGTGTGTGTGTGTCTAGCCCAGACGCATATTCATGAATAAGGAAGAGCGTCTATCAACATTGGACCGCCCTAAATCCCAATTATTACTTATTTATTTTTGTTGTTGTTGTGTTTCTTGATATTACTTCGCTGCCTTATCTCTTAACGATTTCATCAACCATGACGAGGCGGCACCTGCCTCAAAAGTATAAGAAACAAGCATAGAAGTTGAATGTATTTATTTTGCTCCTCTGCATACTCTTTGAAGGAGAATATCATACGTGCCTATAGACACGGCAGTGAGCGGGGGAGGGGGAGAAGAGGGTTGTGTTTTTTCCCTGTGAGGGGAAGAAAATTACCGCTAGGGGCGAAAAGAGATAGAGAACGATAAAAAACAAAAAACAAAAACAAAATAACAGATGCAGTTGGAAGGCAAAGAAGAGGCTGACATGTCAATTGAGAAACCAAGCGATGTCACGCCATTGGACCCAGCGTTCTCATCCAGATTTGTTGAAACGTCACTAGAGGGCGGTAGGGAGCATTCTAAGACGTTTTATGCGCCCTGGTCGGAGCGCTCCTGCTCCCTCACCGCCACTGGGCAGCGGCCCTTTGATGGCATGAGCTTTAATGCAATATCCACGCCGGGGAACAAACAGACGAAGGCATTAACGTCTGCGTTCAAGAAAGGGAGGGGCCGTAAAGGTCGCAATGAGGCGCAGGTGCCTTTGCTGGTGGAAAAAACAATGGAAGCGTTGGAGGAGAAGGCACTTGATACAAACACGGCGGATTATAATTCCGAAAATTTGGATGCGATTTTCGCAAAGTTGGAGGAGGTGCCGGCGGTGGCGGATGGACGGACGCATTTGCAGGTGCTTGACACCTCTGCAAGGGCACGGCCACCATGGTGGCTGCGCCGGTGGACGGAGTTGAAGCTGTTTCTAAATAGCACTTCAGTGCGAGGGAAGTCCATTGACAGTGTGATTGGCATGGCAATGGATCAGTTGGACGCCGATGTGGATGCGGTGCGGGTCCTCGGGAAGGAACTTGCTGATAACAAGGACGTCGACCTTTGTCAACTCAGCGCAAGCAGGGTTGAGCAGATTGAACAAGAGGAGGAAGGCGAGAAGGAAAGGAATTTGCTGCTGCCCCCATTACTTCCGGAGGATGAGCGGAAGAGAACAAGCACAGGGGCGAGTGGGGAACATGCTACTAGTGAAATGTTAGCGCAACTTGTGCCGCCATGGCTGTATGCTGATACGGGAAGGCGCATGACGCAGCAGCTATCACAGACCCTTGCGGTTGTGCAAAAGAAATTAGTTGAAAAGATGTCCGACGATGTGGAAGGGGCGGAGATGAGACTCTTGGGAATTTTTAATTGTGGCGGGTATGACGGGACACAGCGCGTTTTTGTGTGTCCGGCGGTGCAGCGTCTGCATGCGTCTGTCGTGCGGAAGTCCATTCTTATGGACTTGTTTGCTTCGCAGACGAATCTGCGTCAGAAGCGGGCCCAACTTATAAGCGATGGATTTTGGACGCAGACACCACGGATCCATGCGGATTACCTCACGGATGAGGATATTCGACCATTGTACGACCCCACCACTTTACATCTGCTAGGCTCCAATGACCGCTCTTCTCCGACGAAAACAGGAGGGAGCTCTCCGAATGATCACTCTCTTTTTATTCACATTGACTACATCCGTTTTCGGCCGACTGCAAATTCTGCGTGGCAGCATGCTGGTGAAGCTTCCATAGCAGATGTCGCATCACCTTGGTGGGATGGACGAAATATTGATGCGGGCATCACAAACACCCTGTCAATGGACTCGGCAGGCAATCACCAGCCCCAGAACAACGGCAATGCCAAGTCATTGGTGACCTTCACTCAGGAGGAGCGAATTGTCTCCGATTTATTGGACAAATACGAGCAGTACCGCATGGTGGAGTTAAATTTTTTGCCGCATCTAAAGAGTCGTCGCTTTTACAAGGAACAGCTGGAGAACTTGGAGCGGCAGCCTTGCCATACAGAAGAACAGAAAAAACTCAAAGCCTTGCTGTTGCGGCTTTTAAATCTCACATGTGAACTTGAGCGTGTGTATCTTAAAGAGATGGTGTCTGCCTGGCGACGAATTGCGCGGCTGCGTGGTGAAAACCCAGATGACTGTTTTGCCCCATTTCCGCCTTCCAGCGTCGGGGCAACTCCGAACGAAGAGAGTACGCCCTTTTCTCCCTCCAATCCGACGTCACAGAGGGATGGTGTCGAGGGGATTGGATTACGGCGAGGTTTCTTGGGTCTCTCCGAGGGAGCCGTATCGCTGTTGAGTGACGGTCCATCAGAGCTACAGGTGCAGATGCCGACCAATGCACGTCTCCGTATGTACTCGCGGTATCACGGCGAGGGTGCGGTAATGACTCCCATTCAGGAAGAAAATTTATTAGAATACACGCCGGTTATTGAGGGGGTGATAGCACCCCCACATGTGCTTGTTGACGGAGGGTCACAAGTGGGCGAGAATGGCGTGACGTCACCATCACCATCGTCACCGCCGCAGGTTTTTTTGCCGTCGTCTACACTGCAAAACAGCAAGTCGACTCTGTTTCAGGTACTTGTTTTCTTTCGAACGAACTTTGTTGTTCCTCCACATTTCGTGGGGTGCACGGCCCCACGAGCACTGAATTCTTCAAAGTTGCTTTTTTTAAACGAGACCTTTGAGTTACGCACGTTACAGGAACCCCAAGAGATCCTCCTTCACATTCTCTCCGTGCGAGGGGGATCGGATGGTGATTGTGTGATTGCCACCGTCAGTGTTTTCCCTTCACTTACTCGGGCGCATCTGTTGCTTCCGTTACGGGCTCCTATTTCCTTTTCATACCGTGGCACGACCTACAGAAAGCACGGAGGTGGTGTCTTACCAGGCCTCGTTTCACTCTCAACAACATGGACTACGATAAAAGGAATGACGGTGGAGGAAATTGAAGGCCTATTCCTGCGCGGTGACGCGGACCCGTTAGATCCACAGCATGGACCCTTGTTGGCCACACTGAAAGCCCATTACATGGAATTACGAGGAAACACAACGACGCTGCCTGCAAGGGCAGACGTTCCTTTGCCAGGACTCAGCGAAGGTGCCACGTCAGGGATGAGACATCGAGGGCATCGTCCAAGTACCACCACTAGACCACCACATCCTCTGGAAGGTGCAAATTGGAGCAAACGGTTGGAGCTGCTTCACCGGCGTTGGTTGTTTTACATGGCAGGTGTCACTCTGCAGGACGCAGTGGAGGCCCGTCTTTTTTCTCAGCCTGTCCCACTGGAGGAATTTGAATGTTATGAGTTACAGAGCCGTGTAGAACGTGAGGCTCAAAGTGAAAGACGTAAATTGAAGTTTAAGATACCTTCTGATGCACAGTCTCTTGGCGATGCGGAGGTGGATTTGTTGCCCAAAGTATTTATTCTTAGCCCACTTTCATCCAAGGAGAAACTTCATCTGTGGCAAGAGCGTCTGCGCCGCCTCAAGGCACGCCGCACATCCTCCCGCAAGTTGGAGGATCATGAGCTTCTGGAGCGGCACGTTATTTTACCAAAACTACGACCGGTGAAGGGCATCCACTTGACTCCGGAAAGTCAACTCAATCCTCGACGTGAGGCGCGGCCTAAGGTTGACAAAATAACTCGAGAATCGCTTGTGGTGAAGCAAGACTCACGCATTGTTGTGCACATCATGAGGGCGACAACGCTGCCCCAGCGCTCTGATGGCACCCCATTGGAGCCTTTTGTTGAGGTCGGTTTTGTCTGTGAAACCGTGGTCTCGCGCAGTGAGGTCGGTACATCACCTTCATGGTTTGAGACCCTCAACATTCCCTTTTCTCCTCCCGACTTTGACGATGAAACACTCTCCTTGATTGAGGACGACATTGTTGTATCCGTGTATGACAAGGTTGAGATTCCAATGGCTTCAACTTCACTGGTAACGGGCGTGGTTTCTCATGAGACGCACTACCGAACAGAGCGTCGCCTACTGGGGAAGTTGCGTTTGCCCTTTTTTACCCTCTACGAGGCGGATCAAGCGCGTGTGGAAGGGCAGTTTCCTCTATCAACGCCACGATGGGTGCTTGGGTATCTTCCAGATGGAACTGACGCGACCGCTGCCATTAACCCATTAAAATTGCTTCGCGGTGAATCGACTCATTCACACCCGTCTATACAATTGTACATTGCGCTTTGGCCACCACTTCGTCACGCTACGTCTAGAGAAATGGACCAGTCCACCATTTCACGGCTTTTGACGCAACTGAATGTTTCGGCGCAACTCCATTATTTACATGGGATTGCGATGAAATGGAGACGTGATGCCTTGATAAGGATCAAAGCTCTCTCTTCAGTGAACCCCGTGGCTCAAATGCGAGAGATTGAACCCTTTGTGTTTTGTACAACGGGGGATTTAACTCTTGTGTGCCGTTATCTCCTTGCGAATGGTGGTCCACCGCCGTTGACCACAAGAACAGTGGAGGAGGCGATTCGATTTGTCTCATTATTGCCGTTTTGTATTGACACTCTTACATGGGGTGATAAAGATGTTTGGAGCACAAACGCGGAGTTTCTCCGTATTAGAGAAGGGGACTATGAGGAACTTTCTCTTTTACTGGCCCATTTCTTGCGTTTTCTTGCACCAGAGGAGGCGACATTTGTGGTGACAGGCAGAGGTGTCGTCCATCACCATGTGGTGATGGTTTTGCACTCCTTTGGGGGTGAGCTTCGTCTCATCGACCCACGTGCCGGTTGTGTTTGCCCTGTGCATGATCCTCATCTCACTTTTTTTCGTGATGTGCACATGGTAGTGTCGCACAATCAGCTGTGGGCAAATGTTCAGTTGAGTGGTGCCCCACATCGGATGGAATGGAATTTAAACGACCGACGCTTTTGGCTGCCATGCTTTGAACACGAGGACGAAAATGTGAGGGCCTGTTTACCCTACATCGCCGCAATACAGCGACAGTTTTTGCTGTTTTCTATGCCAGATCCACAGAAGGAGCGGGAGATTGAGCAGCAGTTGCACAAGGCCGTTCGTCGTGCTCTGGTTGGGTGGCGCAATAATCGACGGCTTGCATTTCATCACGGCGTCGTCCCAATCCTTCAGGCTCTTCTTAGGGATGCCGAGGATGAACTTTGCCAGTATGCCAGTGTGCGTCGTGAGGCCGTGACGATGCGTGCCAGAGAGATGTTGAATGATTACTTTGGCGACGAGTTGCTGAAGGATCCCTTCCAAAGTGACCAATGGCGAGGGGAGCACCGCAGTCAAGCTGCCGGTGGCGACTTCCGAGTGGATGTAAAAAGGCCCAGAATCTGCATTATGGGAAGCCCCGTGAATGCCGCCTATGAACCCAATGACACAAGTTATCAATCTATTCTGCAGCAGGTGTTCGAGACTGCAGTGCATGAGGTGGGTACGAATACGGTTAGTTTTGCGATTGGTGTTTACGTCAAGGGATACACCAGCGATGTTTACTCCATGTGGGTGTTTCTGGTGGCACTTTATGAGGTTTCGGTCTCTTCTTCATATTAATCTGCCTCATTAAACGTTTCTAGACACACAACCATGTACACAATTTCAACGCAAGGGCATAAACAAAAACATGAAATAAGAGTAAATAACATAGATTTGCACTTATAATGGTGATGTAAATAAATAAATATATACTTTTATATATATATATATCCTGTTGTTGGTGGTGTGTGGGGAAATAGGGAATGGGGCCATTTTTTAATGTTGTTTAAATGAATGAGAAAATGAGAAATATGATTGTGTGGGTGTGTGTGTTTTTTTTTTTTTACTTTTATACAAATATATTTTTTAAATTTTTAATTCTTTTGATGCGTTTGTAATAGCAAGAAAACACCATCTTCCGTCTGTTTGTGTGTGTTTGCCCGGGGAATCTTTTATACGGGCCGTATCGTGGCTCGCAGTGTCTCAAGGAGGAGGGGAGTTGGTTTTAGTGGCGGGAAAGATGATGTCCAAAGCCGCATACATGATGCAAGACCAACTGCGGAGGAACTACACTCTCATCACGGACATTCATAGTCCCAACATCTTCATCGTTCGTGGTTTTTTGCCCTTTCCACAGGGCCTTGCCGCGCTGACGGTTTTGTTTCGTGGCAAATTGGCTGCCGATGTCTACAGTCACCCGTACTTCATTGAAAAGCAGAGTGACCCCTCCCAGCCTTCCCCGCAGCTGCACCTCACTGAGGAATGCCAGAGTGTGATGAAAATCATCAAGGGGTTGCATTTCATGAGGGATGACAGCAGTAAGCTGGACAACACAATGGTTTTTGTGACGGACTACAACGTCGAGACCAAAGGGAGGATGCCCACCTTCAGTAGCGAGGCTGAAGATGCTGCAGAGATGGCAGAGCGAGAGCAACGCATTGGAGAAGACGTTGGGAAATGGGAGGAGCGCACGTTACGCCACCGGTGGCGAAGGGCGGCGGCAGCTCGACGTCACTGCAGCAGTGGTAACGGTGGCAATTTCCCTTTTTCCCCAAACTCAGCGTTAAGTTTACACACGCGCCAAAGCCACGTTGTTGAGGATGAGCAGCAGAGTGCTTTAGAAAAGACACGTAGACTTGTTGAGCGGGAAGGGGCCCACACAGTTCTTTACAATCCTATCGCCACCGATCCCAAAACATTTAGCGCAACCATACGGAAACTTAATGAAGAGGAGCGTGTGGTAAAAACCATTGTTGTTCCCACGCGGCAAGGATGGGGAAGTGTGAATGTGTGGGCCGAGGCGTTTCCGGACGCCGATATTCTGTGCAGTGGAGATGGACTCCATCATGGCGCCCTGCATCAGCCGTCTGCGAAGGAAGAGCGTCGTGTAGGTGGCTGCATGAATATGGGCAATGGTGTTACAGGGCTTTCTTTTCCAGAGGTGGAAACGAATGATTCCTGCAATGCGGAGGATTTTAATGACGCTGCCTCCGCTGCCGCCACAAATTTAGACAGGGACAACATGTGCAGGCTTTTTCTCCAGCATGCTCCCGCTGCCAACTGGCAGGAAGCTGACGACGAAGTGCGTCGCTCGCCTCGTGTTATTCCGCTTGGTGAAGTGGCACAACACCGGATCACACCCAATATTGATTTGTTGCGAGTCGCTGGTGATGATCAAACAAACGAATACGTACTTTACGATTGTGAAAGTGGAGCCCTTGCTTGTACGGATCTTTTCCACGGGGAGTATGGCGATTTTGATCCTGTGAACACGTGGATGTGCCGTGTGTGGTTTAAGTTTATGAAGGGGGGAAATTACAAGCGTATTGACTTTGTTCCTCAATTAAAATGGCTGCAGGTAAAGCGCCATGGAAGTTTGGAATTGCTGCGGGGGACCGTTGATATGCTCACCAGGACACGACCCATTAATTATCTGCTTTATGCTCATGGGACTCCGCCGCGCATAGAAGACCCCGCGGACTCGTTACGCTTGCAATGGGGCATGCCGCCTTTGGGACCTCGGCAGGAGAAGGACAGGCACAATGAGGACTGTCGGGAGAAGACACATGGATGAGATTGGAGTGCAACTTTGCCGGTGTGCATCTTGTCCTCAGTTCACTGCCCATTAGTATACATATATATATATATATAATTTGTCGTGTTTTTTGTCGTTGTTGTTGGAATTGAATTATTATTATTATTATTCCTGTTGACTGCCAGTTTTTCGGTGAAGCGGTGTTTTTTTTTTTGTTGTTGTTGTTTCTCCCTGCGGCCGGGGAGGGGAAGGACTAGGGGTAATGGCAACACACAGTTCAGTCCCACCACGGCTGGACACGAAACGGCTCGAGGTGTGGCGCACGGTCTCCGAGAGCACCACCGGAAACTTGGGCTTCTCTTGTGCGCTGGAGCCTCTAATGGAACAACTTTGTTGGGAACGGAAGAAGAATATGAGGGATATTTACGGCGGCGGGGGAGAGAGGGCGGCTCAGTTACTTGCAACCGGGTTGGACATCGGTGCTGACAACGGTACCGTCAGCGCCATCTTGACTCAAGCGCGTGGATGCTCAGAAGTACGGTCTGTTGGTGTAGTTACAACGCCAACGACACGTGCTCTGTTTCCAGGCAGAGACGAGGCGACACCTATCAAATCCACTCATGACGAAAAAGAGGGTGATCTTGTCAATGTCCCTCAAATCAACGACTTCTCGGCTCTCACTCGTCAGTGGGAGGTACAGGCTGCTTTGGCCGCTGCCAGGAATGGATCCAGACGCCATCGCCGGCGAATGGTGCGATGCGATAGCGACGAGCGTCAAGACGACGAGGGCAATGAGGATGGGGAAGGGCCTGCGGCGATGCCTGTGGGAGACAAGAAGGAATGCCCAAAACCCTCCGGCGGATGTTCTTATCCTGGGTGTTCTCATTCGCGAGATATTTTTTCCGACGAGGGCGACAAGGAATTCTCCGAGACAGAGGAGGAGGCTGTGGAGGGCGAAAATAACTTTGGAAAAGAGGGCCATCTTGCCTGCGTTCCGGGCGATGTTATTCATAACCGATTTGCTTTGATCTGCCAGTTGGGTTGCGGTCGCAGTAGTCGTGTGTGGCTTGCTGTAGATCTTGTTCAGTGCTCTGTTTCGCGCCGTCGGCTTATAAGCAACTTGGACGATCATCAACTTTGCATGCATTTTTCTTCCCTGGTCCAACCGCTCTTTGTTGCCATCAAAGTGTTCCGTTGTGGTTTGATGTATGAGGAACGTGCGGAGTCTGAGGCGTTGTTGTTGGCGTACATTAGAGAATTTAAAAAAGCAGAGTGGCTACAACGGCAATTTTCTCTTCCACGTTTTAATGTAGAATCAAGTGAGATGTCAACACTGAACACATCGACAGCACCGATTGCGAATGTTTCGTCTGCTATGTTCTCTGGCCACAGTCGTTTTTCTGAAACCGACTCTCAAAGTAGCGGTGAGTGGACAGCCCAGTCATCTGGTATTTGTCGTGTATCTTTTATGCGGGACCAATTTACTCACCGAGGTGCATTTGGTGTGCATCATTGCATTGTTTTGGATGTGATGGGTGCTTCTCTTGATAAATTCATGGATGGGAGAAGACCCAAGGGGATACCGGCAAGTACTGCCAGTAGTATCATTCGCTCCGTTTTGGAGGACCTTGCATCACTTGCGATGATGCATATTGCCCACACGGACATTAGGCCCGCAAGTATTTTTTTAATGGAGCGCGAGGGGCACGTCGCAAAAGGTGCAAAAAACTTTAGTACGCAAAATTCAGGCAGTTCCGAGCTGACGGAATCAAACTTGAGAGTGCCGCGCGGTCGAGCGTCAAAGTTACATTCTTCTCGAACTGAAGTGGGCGAGCGACCCACTGTGTCATTGCCGCCATTCTTAAAAGATATTGTCGACACTCCTCGCACTGGGCGTTGTCAAAGTGCCCGCGGCGATTCTTTTCAGTCTTTGAGCGAGGCGGGTCTGTGGTGCGCACGAGTGAACCCTCCACACGCGGTGCAACTCTCCGACTTTGATCACTCCATTATTCTTTCTACCCGTTTGAAGCGGGACCACGACAATTCTCTTAAGAGCGGGTTGGACAACGGCGGTGACTTGACGGAACTGACGGAGGACGGGGCGAAACACACCGCCAACCCCTACAGTCGGCCCGTCGGTGGTGGTGTTTTGACTCCCGACATGCCGGTGATGACTGCGCCAGATGGCAAGGAAAGAGTTTCAGTTTTCACATTGTCGTGTCAATTCGCGGCTTCTTTGAGGATGTCTTCTCCGTCAGCGTGCGAAACGAGCCTTGTGAATGAGTTAAAGCGGGATATCTTGGCACGACGAAGCTATAAACGTGGTGTGTTGCTTCAGTCACGGGAGTATCGTTCTCCAGAGATAATCCTCGGGAAGGACTATAATGCCACCATGGATATTTGGTCCGTGGCCTGCACTGCGTATGAGCTTCTCTTTGATCGTCGTCTTTTTGATCCCATTCGTGATTTCACGGAGGCTTTGGAGCGCGAGAAGGGGGAAGGAGAGGCGGACCGGAAAGACGGGAAAAAAAATTTCTCGAGTGTTGGCGAAATTCACGGGTGTAACGCAACAGAGTCGGCTTCTGTGGAAAGTGTTAATGAGCGCAACGTCCACAATCTTTGGTTTCGTGCTGTTTGCTTTAATGAGCATGAAAAAAACATTGACGTGTTTCACTTGCGCCGGATGGTGCTTCTTCTTGGGCCCCCTACTCCGCGCTATATATTTTCTACTCCCATGGGCGAGTACGTGAGAGAGTTTTTTGACGCTCATGGCCGCTTTATCTTTCTCACTAAATACGAGCAAATGCAGCTGTATTGTACTGATGATAGTTGTGAGGCGCATTCTTCTTGTTTGCCCTCCCGTGTTGCCTGCGATGTCGCTGATAATGTGTCAGCGACAGCAAAAAAGCACAAGTCTGCGGGCGTCCCGGCAAACGAGAGCAATTCCCGGCGACGCGATTTGGGGGCCCATTGTTGCTGTCGCGGTGTGACTTCCGCCTGGCTGAGGCTGCGGGAACAAATTCAGGCGCGACTAGGGAAGGAGGAGGGCGTTGCGTTTGAGGACTTCTTGAGGCGGTGCCTGCAGTGGAACCCGGAAGAACGGCCAACTGCACACGCCTTGCTGAGGACTTCGTGGGTGGCTGCCGCGGAAGACGCGAGACCTGGATTTGCCGAATGAGGAGGAAAAAGAGGCAGGTGGAAGGTGAGGATGAAATGAAGGGTGTTGTGGGCGCGATGTCTTCTGTCCCGTTCCTTTTACTTGAGGCTTTTTTTTCCTGCCGTCCCATCCACAACCACCACCTTCTCTGTTGCCCTCCACGCTGAGGGAGGGAGTGCAACGGCTGCGGGCCCTTAAAAAAAAAGACTCCACCTTGTGAGTTTATAAGGAGCCCGGCTGCCATAACTTTTATGCATTCATTTGTTCACGGGTGTGTGAGTGTTGGATGAATTTACTTCTTAGTGTGTGGGGTGTTGGGTCAAACTGCCACTCCCCTTTGTGTCACACACACACAACCTCTCTCCCTTTCTCCGTGTGTCTTTTTTCTTTTTGTAGGAATAGGGGACAGGGTCTTGGACAGGAGCGTATTCTTATATCGCCTGTAAAATCGTTTCTTTCTTTTTTTTTTTTGTTCGCATATTTGGGATTGAAATGACGGATGTATCTTTTTTTTTTTTTTTGCATTTTTACTGCTCCTCATTTCCAGAGAAACGCGCGCAAGCATTTATTTACATGCAAATGCGTTTTTGACACCTCTTCTGTCTGTGATTTTTAATTATTGCGGAATTTTTTTCTTCGTGCCCTTTTTAAAGTGTTGTGCTCATTTCTCTATTGCCACATTCTTTTTTTTTTCCCTTGTGCCTCTTTGCTTGCCTCAATGTTCCATGAAAAGTGGACATGCCGTGACTGCATTGACGTTGCCCTTGTTTTTTTTTTTTTTTTTTTAGCTCCTTCCCCTTTATTAAAGAGCGTTACAGAGCATTATGCCCACTGTGACGGGGGAGGGACGCTACGACAGTTGTGTCAGTGTACTAGCTCTAGTGGAGGGGCCTTACCCTGTACATTTCTCTATCGGATGTGTTGTGCATCCGTTTGCGCTGATTGTTGCTCAACGTGGACCGATTTACTTTGGCGCCTACTGTATTGTGGAGGAACACGCCTGCATCATTAATGGAGAGCGAGGTTGTGAGGATGTCACCGAATCCGCGCCGTCCGCTGTGCCCATGACCATTGGCCCGTACAACCACTTTAAGTCCTTTTCGCGCATTGCAAACTTGCATCGCATCGGCCACGGCAACAGGTTCGAACCCCACTGCAAATTGGAGTTCTTGAGCGAGTCACCGGAGGTCGTCTCCGTTGAGGACTATTGTGTCTTTGGGCCGTTTGTTTGCCTGTGTGGCCCGTGGCGCGGTAATGACAAGAAAGTCGACGCCGCCGTGACGATTGCCTCTCGTCGTGTGTATTTGTGCCCCACAGACCCAAAAGGAGAGGAAAAATGTGGCTGTTTTGCGTCGGCACTTCCTTTGACCGACTCGACGCATTCTTCCTGTTGTTGTTTTTGTTCCTCCGCGTGTTGGGTGCTGCCGCGTGGGGAGCCGTTTGACGAGGAGGAGGCGGAGGACGCGCTCCGGCAAAAGTGTCTTTTTTTTTGTCGGTTGAGTGCGCAGTGAATGTTTTTCCACGCGGTGGCTGAACTCCTCTCTCTCTTTCTTGTCAACACGAAGACAAAAAACAACAACAAATGTGCGTGGGAGGAGAAGTGCATCGAGTGGCGGCTCTGCGTTTTCCCTTTTTTTTTTAATTTTTTATGTTCATTTTTCTTCTTCTGCCATTCATCTAACAGCACGTGTTGACGCATGTACTTTTTTTTTCTTTTTCTTTTCTTTGTTGCCACGGCAGTTTTTTGCAAGCGAACCAACCAGTTTTTTTTTTTTTTTTTTTTTTTAAGAAACGGAATAATGGCCCAGCAAGGCAAAGTGGAACCGCAGGACCAGGACTCATTTTTGGATGACCAGCCCGGAATTCGTCCGATCCCGTCCTTTGACGATATGCCGCTGCACCAGAACCTCCTTCGTGGTATTTACTCCCATGGCTTTGAAAAGCCCAGCAGCATTCAGCAGCGTGCTATTGTCCCGTTCACGCGCGGTGGCGACATCATTGCTCAGGCGCAGTCCGGAACGGGAAAGACAGGCGCGTTCTCTATTGGCCTTTTGCAGCGTCTTGACTTCCGCCACAACGTTCTTCAGGGGCTTGTGCTCTCTCCCACCCGAGAACTTGCTTTGCAGACGGCGGAGGTGATCACCCGTATTGGGGAATTTCTTGCGGAGGGGAACTCCTCGTTTTGTGCGACGTTTGTTGGTGGAACACGAGTGCAGGACGACTACCGCAAGCTTCAGGCCGGCAGTATTGTGGCGGTGGGTACACCCGGGCGTGTAGTGGATGTGACAAAGCGTGGTGCGATGCGCACGGAGCAACTTCGTGTCCTTGTTTTGGATGAGGCTGACGAGATGCTTTCACAGGGATTTGCTGAGCAGATCTATGAGATCTTCCGCTATCTGCCAAAGGAGATTCAGGTTGCCCTTTTTTCTGCCACCATGCCCGATGACGTGCTTGAGTTGACGAAGAAGTTTATGCGTGACCCAACACGTATTCTCGTGAAACGTGAGAGCCTCACTCTGGAGGGTATCAAGCAATACTTCATTGCAGTGGAGGAGGAGCACAAACTCGACACACTTATGGACCTCTACGAGACTGTGAGTATTGCGCAGAGCGTCATTTTTGCCAACACCCGGCGCAAGGTGGATTGGCTCGCACAGCAGCTCAACCAGAGCAACCATACCGTCAGCTGTATGCACTCTGAAATGCCAAAGCAGGATCGTGAGAAGGTTATGAGCACCTTCCGTAACGGGAGTTCCCGCGTGTTAGTTACGACGGACCTCGTGGCCCGCGGTATTGATGTACACCACGTGAATATTGTCATCAACTTTGACCTGCCGACCAACAAGGAGAGCTACCTGCACCGCATTGGTCGTGGTGGCCGTTACGGCCGCAAGGGCGTGGCGATCAACTTTGTGACGCAAAAGGATGTGGAGGTGCTGCGTGAGATTGAGTCACACTATCACACGCAGATTGACGAGCTGCCAGTGGACTTCGCCGCGTACCTTGGCGAGTAACACCACCCGCAATCTCTTTTTTTCTCTTACGGATGCACGCATGAACGGGGAGAGGAGGGGATGAAGCGATGAGGAACGGAAGGGAATAGGAAAGGGGGTAAAACCAACAAATCCAAGGGGAACACACACACACACACACACATATTATATTATATATATTATATATAAATACATATATGTATTCGCATATAAATGTTTATATACATACAACCACTGAACTTAAGTGAAGGGGAGGAGGAGGAGGAGGAGGAGGGACGACATCGCCGAAAGGGGAGGGGGAGTTGAAGATGCGTCTTTCGTTCTTAAATTAACCAACACAACCGTCCCCCGGGGGAAAAAACAAACAAAATAATAATTAAAAAAAAAAAAAAAGAAAAGAGCAAAACAAAAACCAAAACAAACAAAATAATAAATAAATAAATAAATAAAAGAAAAAAGACCCGCAATTATTATTATTATTATTATTTTTTTTTTTTTGTGCCTTTAAAAGAAGGGGGGGAAAAAATTAATAATAAAATGGGGCGCCGGACGGGGAAAAAAACAGTAAAAAAAAAATAAATAAATGAAATTTGCCCATTTCTTCTTCCCGCCCCGGAAAAGTAAATAAATGAAAAAAAAAAAGTAGAGGAATTTTCTCCGTTCCATCTGCCTGCATGTGCATGCGGTTTGACGGGACCAGGAAAGGAGGAGGAAGGCGGGGGGCGAATTGCGGGTGAATGCCGTGCTTAAGGAGAGACAGACGGACAGACAGACAACAAATAATAATAATAATAATAATAAAAAGAACGGTGGTGACTCAAATGAGGAGGCACGTAACTCCTTCCTTCGGAAAAAAAAAAGAGCGAATAGATGGAATGGACCAAAACAACAAAATGAGAGCTACAAGGACCCGCAGAAGAGAAGGGGGAGTAGTGGGGGCGATCTTCCACTTGACTGTTCTCTCTTCCTTGGATGTGGCGAATGCAATACGTGAAGTGTGTCTGCTCATGTTTGTTGCGTCGGCAGTGAGCGCCGACCGGCACTTGACGGTGCGGGGGGCTTGGCAAAAAGGGGGGAGGACGGTGGCGGGCGTGTTGCAGGGGACATGTGCGGGAGGAGAGTGACACACACACACACACACACGGGGTGGTGGGCGCATTAATTAAACGTGCGGGACTCAAGAAGAAAACAGGAAAAAAAAAGTTTTTTCTTTTCTTTTTCTTTTTTTTCCTGCAGGTCATTATTTTGGAGGAGCGAATGGAATGTGAAAATGTTTGTGGCCTGTCACGGGAACAGACGGACTTTTCTCGACGATGCCACCAGCCGCGTCCAGTGAGATGTTTTTACTTTTACCACCACAACAACCACTTTTTTTTTTTTCAACCCATCGCCGTCCGACGCATCCACGCGTGGTACATGCACGCATGGCCGACAGACAAACGATCCATGCGGGGTGGGGGAGGGAGAAGGTAGGAGAAGGAAAAGAAAGAAAAAGAAAAAAAGGAAAGGCAGAAGTGGGCGGATTCCGTGGGAGGCAACATGTGTCGTTGCCGAAGCGAGGAAACAACTTGGGAAACAGCAGCCGATAACATATTAAAGAATAATGTCAAACAATAAGAAAGGTGCCAAGAATTGTTAGTAGACGAAAGGGAAAATTTTATTGATGTTGTTTCATCATGACAAACTAGAAGGAACAGCGGAGTATTACAAAACACGAAGGCACATGTTCCCTTTTTTCTCTTTTTCTCTTTGTGTGTGTGTGTATGTGTGCTTTTTTTTTTTTTTTTTGCCATTCTCGCTGGATGAAAGATGTGTAATTTTTCTTTAGGGCCGCCTTCACTGCCTGAACTTGCGGACAAACGGGAACAGCAGGTGGAGAAGAGGTAAATGAGGGCGCATCAACGTGCCGCCAAATTATTATTATTATTATAAACCAAAACGGGGCAAAAAAAAAAAAGAGGGGAAATGAATATTTAACAGCCGTAAATTGCACAAATACACACGTACAATGAAGTTTTTATTTGCATGTGGGCGTTTTTTTTTTTTTTTTGTGTCTGTGTGTGTGTGTGTGGTTGGGATGCACGGGTGCCCATATATATATATATTTATGTTTTTTTTCTTCTTTACTGCTGTGTTGATTAATTGAGGAACCATTCCGATGCTGCCTTCCCGTCAATTCCCGGACGCCGCGCCTGTTTTTTTTTTTTTTTTTTGTTCTCGCTGTCGAATTTCGCGACACCCATGCGTCTTTTTACTTTCATTTGTGTTAGTGATTGTTTTTTTTTTTTTTTTTGTATGCGTCGTTCTTTTTCCTTTTTTGTGTGCGTGTCTGTTTGGTTGTGGGCTTTTTTTTCTGTCGTTTCTTCTTTTTCCGGGAATTTCTTTTTTATTTCTCTTTTCTCCCTCGAGGCCGAGCCTTTCTTCCGTCATCGCTTTTTTTCTTTCCACACAACTTCTGAGCGGAGAGTGTGAGGCCTTGCGGGATTTGGATCAGGCGGAGAAGGAAGGGGAGTTAAAGAGAGGACTCAACTTTGGGCGTTAAATAGAAGGAGCGACGATTATATTTTGAGGTCCGCTGCAACAGGATATGACTGCTCTTGTGGACGCTAGAGAAGTAGCGGAGGTACGACGGGTGCTGCTCTCGCTCGGTTACCAAAATCCCTCTGCCGACGATATCGCTCTTACATTGCAGCAGGTGAAGGAGGCACGTCGTCGCGAGGCCGAAGTGCAGCAGCAGCGGTCTTTTTCTCCCATGAAACAGAATGAAAGTTTCCGTCAGGTCTCCGCATCTCCACCACGTGGAGCCAACGACGTGACCATGGCTCCCGATGAAAATGAAAATGTTGAAGTGGAGAGCGAAGAAGGGAATCCACGACGAACCTCCACGTCGCAAAAGCAGTGGCCTGGATTGTCTTCGCACTCCATACGTGGAGGTCGCACAACGCCGATGAACTCAACAGGGACTGGGAGACACCCTGGACGTGGTCGAGTTGCGGGAACTCAGCCCCATCGAGAGTATTGTTATAGAGAGCCTTACCACAGTGATGGAAGCGTCGTAGTGGAGAGAAATGCACAGTCAATGAGGAGGGATCGTTCAGGCAGGCGTCGTATGGAAACCAGTGAAACATTTCATTTGGGAGTTAGCAATAATGCTGGGACGAAAGAGACCATTATGGTACCAACAGCTGTTGGCACTGGAAGGTTCATCGATGCTGGTGGCCTACATTACCCTGATACAGGGTATTTGAACCCACAAGCACGATTGGGGCGCCACATGAGACGATACGAAAAGGGACTTAAGGCTGCATACACGAGCAAATACAATGATGATCTACAAGACGAAACCGGGGAAGAAAGTGATTCATACGATGAGGAAGAAGAGTCCTATGAGGAGGGGTACACAGAGTTTGGTTCCCATGAGGGGCGCGGTAGAAATCTAGCCATGTGCTACGAACGTCGGCCGCGCCAGCCACCGGTTACACCAGAGATCCCGCTGCGCCCCAGTCGAGTATTGCTCAATCAACGGAATGCAAATATCATTTACAGCTTCACAGGTGATATTCGGTACAAGTACCGTGGGGGATTGGGCGCGCCTTTATGTGCTGTATTGGGGCCAAACGGCTCAACGCTGCGGAATCGGTCCGATCCTGTTCGTCGTGGACAGCAGATGCGGGAGATTTGGAAGAAGGATAAATTCCTTGCACAACAGGGCCGCAAAGAGGACCGTTGGCGTGTACGCCAAAGCATGCTGTCGTGGGATCCCTCCTGAGAGGTGTGTGATTTTTATTTATTTCTAGAGGATTCTTGTTAAAAGAAAAATCCGAAAACATGAGGTCTGTTTCTCTTAGAGGTTACGTGCATTATACCTATAACCTATATATATATATATATAACACGTGTTATCTTGTCTTTGCAGCTCTGCGACTTTTTTATGATTTCTGTGAATAATAATATTATCATTAATGCATTTTTTTTTTTAAATTTATTTTTATTTTTACACAGGGAAGGGAAGGAATTTTTAAATTGTGTGTGGGTTTGGGTTTCCATCATGGTATGCCCTTTCAAGCTGGTTGTGCGGGTTGTTCTTCTTGCGACCGTGTGCAAGGTGTTGCTGGACGCCTATGGATCTTGCAAGGAAACCGAATCTTGTGACGATGATTTCTCAGGGAAGAAAACGGACAAAAAGTCACAGGATTTACCAATGGTTGAATGAACTTACTTGTCACGTGATGCAACATGACTGGCGTGGGGGATGGACTCACACGGTGCGGAGCAACAGTTCTTCAAAACCACACAAGGCTTCATTGCAATTGACAAAAATTTTCTCTTTTAAATTTGAGAGGGGCAATGAAGGTGACGGCCTACTTGTTAATTATTTCGTTGGCACCTGTTTGAGTATTTAGTTTGTGACGTATTTTTATTATGAATTACCATTTTTATTTTTGTAGTGGATTTATATCAAAAGATAGGGAAACGGCAATGCCCTTTGGTGTCGACATGAGTGGTGTGCATTGCCTTCTGCATGCAAATACGCAAAATCATCGTTCTCATGAAGTGTAAATGATCTTTAATGTCTTTAAAAAAATATATAACACCGTCCAGCCACGTCTGTTTCTTATTTACTTATTTTTGACTTTTGGGCTCATAGGCATTATTTTTTTTGTCTCTTGTTTGGGTTTCGGCACGAACAGCTGTTTTTTTCTTTTCTGCATGATTGGCTTCACGGCACAACCTCTTCGCCTTTGAAGGGGCTAGAGCATATTCCTTGCTGTATGGTTAGGGTTTGTTTGCTGGGCTTTCTTCTCTGGAAAAATTTTTCCAGGGCTATGAAAAGGCACCCAAAGAGAAGGTCACAAAAACAACACGAAAAAAAAAAATTGATAATAATGACAGGAATGGTGCGAAGTGTGGATACGCTGAGTCTATCCAAATGTAGTTTTTGTGTTTTATGTCCTGCCATTTTATTCCGTTCTCCGATATCGTGACGATTTATCTTTTCTTATCGTTTCTCTTTGAGGTAGTACTTACCTGTAGAAAGAAAGGAGGGGAGAGAGGCGGGCAAGAGGCTTAGGAAGACCCCTTTCTTCCTTTTTCTTTTTCTCTGCTTTTGTTTTTAGAGCGGTGTACTTCCGGCGAAAAACAAAAAAAAATGCGACGAATAAGTGGTGCGACCTGCAGCATGCGTCGTTTTTTTTCTTTTGGCGTGGGACTTTCTGGAAACGTCCCGATTCTTCTTGTTAGGCATGCCATCAACAGGACGGGGGGAATGATGTGTACTGCTCACCATAACAATACCCGTCACTTCATTGCGGCTTTTTCCCAACCCTGCCTCGCTCCGAGCAGACTCGTGGGCTCAGGAGGAACAGAGTCGTCATTCACTCCACTGAAGTGCCCTGAGTGTGGCAAGCGGTTTCTTAGTATGGCGAATCTTCGACAGCACCGGCGCTCCCGCCATTTCGTATCTCTCAAGTCTCCCTCTCAGGAAGAGCTTGAGCGTTTGAGGGAGGCCAACGCACGGCTGGTCGAAGAGTTGAGAAACCTACGGGAGGTCAATGCATTGAGGGTGCGTTCTGCCTCTTCATCGTTATTGATTTCCTCAGGTGAATCATCGTCTAAAGGGGAGAGCCAGAACGGCGCCCATTTTTTTGCCGCCGTTCCCGAAGGGAAAGCTGTGGGCATTTCCATGGCGGAGGTGCAACAACTGCGGAACCACCCTTTTCGATTAGGCACAGGAATCTCCGAGGTCTGGTGTGTGGGTGTGGTTGAAAACGATGTCGAGTTGGGCACAATTGGCGTCAGAAATGAACAAGAGGCTGAGGAACATACGTCAGGGCTGGAAACAATGCAATTTACTCTTCGAACGGATGGATATCGTCTGCGACGTGTTGGCCAGTTAAAAATGTACCGCAATCGACTCACTGTACGTGTTATTGCACCTCGGTACAAGGCACAAAAGGGGGATACGGTGCTTGTTGTGGGTACGTACGGGCTCCATAATTCGTACGATCTTGTTTCAAAGCAAGCGGTGGAAAACTCTGTTGTGGAGGCCGGATATGTCGGACTACTAAAGAAGGGGCCTGCGGACAAAATTGAAGAGGTCTAGTGGTGTACATTTTATGTATACGCTATTTCTTTTCATACTCACACGTTACTTTTTCTATTATTGTTTTTTTTTTTTGGCATATATGTATAATATGTATATACATTCACGTTGATAAGGTGAAAAGGTGTGTGATCTTTTTGGGTTTACATTTTTTTTTTTTCTTTTTCTTCCTATTCGTGTATTGAGAGCAGAGTCAAAGAGAGCGACAACGAAAGAAGGGCAACATATATATGCATATATACACATATATATATATACCAAAAAAATCAAGGAGAAACCACCTAACTCTGCCTTTTAGGGGTTCCTGTCAAAAATGTTTGAGCCACGGTCGCAGATGGCATACCGCCAGGACACGTTTAGGAACATTCGCTCTCTTCGTAAGTTATTTGAGGTCATGGATCAGAAATACAGCAGTATATCCATCACCTTTCTTATTATTCACCTCATCATGGAGTTGGCTTCGGTGGTATTCTATGTATGGACGGCTGTGGTTTCCGAGGCCACTTCCGTGTCGGAGTTTCACTGGAATGGAACCATGTTTAATATTGAGTTTGGACTCAACATAGTGTTCTTTCTGGAGTGGGTCGCTCTTTTTTTTGGGGAAGATGACAAGATAGGGTACTGCCTCTCGTGGCTATCGATAGTAAACGCCATGACGAGTATTCCAATGATAGTCATTGGCATTGGGGGATTAACGGAGACAAGCTGGCGCAGTTATTGGGTTCCCATGTATCTGCGAGTGTGGTGGCTGCGTGACTGCGTGGTGGTTCTTTTGGATTACCCGCAGGTTGAGCGCTGGATGAAGGACGTCACTCGAGAGGTTTGCCGCTTTGTTGCTACCTTGTTTGCCGGCCTTTGCACGTGCGCCGGCACACTTCAGATTGTTGAGAGTACAACTGGGTCATACATGAACCCATTCAATGCATTTTACTGCATGGTCGTCACCTTTTCCACTATTGGTTATGGCGATATTGTCCCGGGGTCGACGCCTTCTCGGTTGTTGATGGCCGTTTTTATTGTTTTTGCCGTAAGTCACTTTATGCCGTTGTTTCAGCGGTTGGTTTCCATCAGTCGGCAGCGCTTGCACTACAATGTGTATAATTCCCGTGGCGGACGAAAGGCTCATGTGATTTTGGCCGGCATTTTTACAAAATTGGGAGTGAAAATTATTTTGCAAGACTTTTATGGAGGCTGGCGGAGATATGTTGATTTGCGAATTGTGCTGCTTTCACCTGTGGAGCATCCACTCGAGGTGAAATTGCTGGTGAACCTGCCGTGGTTCAAGGATCGCGTACTGTTGATGATTGGAGACCCCCAAAAAGAGTCGGACCTTAAGCGTGCGGACGCACGTCATGCAGACGCCATATTTTTATTTGGCGATACCTTCCCGGCTACATTTCACACCGACTACACCCTTATTCAGCAATCACTCTCCATTAACAACCATGATTCCGAGCTCGCACAGTATTTATATCTTCGAAGCGAGAGGAACACCAAACATGTGGCGTCATACGCTGCTGGTGTGGTTGAGGGGGAGAGACTGTTGCACCATTTGCTTGGACTTGGAGTGGTTGTTCCTGGAGCCATTCCGCTTATTGTAAATTTGCTTAGAACTTATGATCCTTTCACATTGGACATGAAGCGCACCCTCCACTGGGTGGAGCAGTACGAGTTGTCCCTGCAGCACAATATTTTTTGCATAGACGTTCCAGACGCATACCGAGGACGTGACTTTCACCGTTTGGCAAGGCTATTTTTTGATCATGACGTCACTCTCATAGGCGTCATCACCACAGGAGGGATGGTGCAACTGAATCCCTCCCGCGTTGCCACTTTAGTGGGAAAGATTATATTCATCGCCAAAAGCCCAGAGGAAGTGAAGAACGCAATGACGGAGGTGGAGGAAACCCGTTTTTCCACTATTGATCCAGAGGCCGATGACCAGCCATGTTATCCTACTTTGGTGTTGAGTAACGAAAGGAATGGTTCGACATCTTGGGCGGGCGAATTCAGTGGGCATTTTGGGTCCATTCAACAAATAAACGATGCTTACGATTTTGAAAATCATTTTGTTGTCATTGATCTCTCCATCGCAAATGATAGAGCGGCTGAGACGGAAGGGGCACACGAAGGTACACTCACTTCCGCTGCCGTCAATATTTTTCATATTATGCAATCCATTCGTCAGAGCTACCCTCAAAATGACATTGTGCTCTTGACGAAAGACACATCTTTTTCCGTTTACTTTGACCGTTATTGGCATGGCGTCAAGGGTGCTATTCCCATAAAGTATGTGGACGGATGCGGGCTGAACACGAATGATCTACGGCGCTGTAATCTTAAGCAAAGTGCTGGTATTGTTATTTTTGTCTTTGGTGACACCAGCGGCAAGTCAACAAGTGGGGTATCTATGCTCGTCAACCTCTCCATTGCCTCTATCCTTCCCTCGTCGCACAACATTCCAGTCGTGGTGGAGCTGGACAGTCTTCAGCACCTTTCTCTATTCCCGCCATACGCTGAGCATTCTCGCCTTCGTCAGAAAGCTGAAGTAGATTTTGTTTTTGAACCAAATTACATTATTGGCAATGCAATTAGCAGGCACATGCTGTTTCCTTTGGTTCACGCCACATATTTTATGCCGGAGTTTATTGACATTATCGACATGATTGTGAGCGGAGTGGATGAAGAGACCCCTTCCCTGGGACGACTTTCACTTTCTCTCTCACACGAGGTGATTGAAACGTACAAGGATGTTGTTGACTACTGCCTCAGCTTGCGTTACCTGCCCATTGGCTTGCATATTTGCATCAGTGACACAAGAAATTTGTCTCTCAACGGAAAACGCTTCGTAATGACGAACCCACCGAAAGATCTCCCAGTTGACCGCGAAAAAGATGGCGTCTTTTACTTGCTACCTACGTGACAAGTAAAAAGCTCTACACCACTTTTTTAAAAAAAGACTTTTGTGCATTTCTGTGCGTATGCTTTTGGTCTTCTTGCGGTAGAGAAAGATGGGCTGATTGAGTAGAGTCATTCAATTGGGAATTTGAATGCACGGTTTTTCTTCAACGTCTTCCTTTTCCTCACCAATATTGTTCGTCCTTTCACATCTTCCGTTTATATACACACGCGCTAGGAAGTTAATACCAAGCGCGAATCGCTACTGTGAAATTCGAGGGCTCTGAAGGGACCAACAACAGCACACAAACACACACACAGACACACACATGTTTATATGCTCTCACGTGTTGCTGCAGTGAAGGCACCCCGCACACACAACCGTCGCCGCGTGACCGGATCCAGCGGAAGGAGGAGGAAAGGAAGAGAGAGTGAGCCGCAGAGGCCCAACATGTTCCGGCGTGTATTTACTTCCGCGGTGCTCCTACTCCTTGTCGTGATGATGTGCTGCAGCACCTGTGGTGCTTCACACGCTGTGGAGAGTAATGTAAGGAAAGCAGTTGATTCGTTGATGAGGATTGGATGGGAAAAGCTTGACAACTGGGAGGATGTTCCTGACGCTGGTGGTAAATATGGCTTGCTTCTTGGTCCCAGTCTCGTTGATCTGCAGGGTCATGTATTTGCTATTGCTGAAGCCCATTGCAGAGATGGAGGTGACTGCAGCAACGTCAGCTTTACTGGGATTGCGTCAAAGTACCTTGATTTAAGTGGTGTTGCTGGTCTAACGGAAATCTCGAAGGCAGATGCGAGTATCTTTGGCGCAGGTCTTCTAAAGGAAGGGTCTGAGGGCATCAACACCACAAACGGCATAACGCGACCAACGACACTTGTACTTGGGGAAAGTGTCTACATGCTCCTGGGAAACTACAGCCATACAGAGCAGCAGGTTGAAGGTAAGAATGAGCGGGGTCTTTTACTTTTGAAGGGAACTCTCACTGATGAGGGTGGAAGGAAGAAAATAAAATGGAATGAGACCCATGCGGTGGAGCCTCAAGGAAAAAGAGAATCTGGTTCCTTGACCGAGTTAATTGGCGGTGGAGGATCGGGTGTTTTGATGCGTGACGGCACGCTTTTGTTTCCCATGCAAGCCAAAGACAAGAAAGGAACGAGCGTTTTGCTCTCTATGCGCCTCCCCAAGTCGGAGAACAAATGGGAGCTTTCATCCGAGACGCCTGGTAACGGCTGCAGGGATCCAACCCTGGTGAAGTGGGAAAAATACGAGGACGACGAAAGACTCTTCATGATGGCTCATTGTGCTGGAGGCTACTATGATTTTTACAGTTCCACCTTGGATGGAGTCAATTGGAATACGTTGGGTGAGCCAATTAACCGCGTGTGGGGCAACTCACAGAATCGAAAGGGGATACGGCGTCCAGAGTGGATTTACCACCGCAATCATTGAGGGAAAGGAGGTGATGCTCATCACCGCGCCGGTTTATCCGAAGGACGACAATGGAGAGGGTCGGCTCCATCTTTGGGTGACGGACAATGCACGCGTGCATGATGTTGGGCCGGTATCTCGTGAAGGTGATGATGCCGCCGCCAGCTCGCTGTTGATGAAGGAGAATAATAAGGAGTTGATTTCACTGTACGAGAGCAAGAAGAAGGATGGAGCATACAATCTTGTTGCTGTGCGTCTGACCGATAAACTGGAGCGGGTAAAGGAAGTGGTGAAGAAATGGAAGGATTTGGACGGCGCCCTGAAAAAATGCAGTTCCGGTTCCAGCGGCAATGTTGACGCGCTCAGAAAGGGGCATGTGCAATGGTCCTGTTCCCACGGATGGGCTTGTTGGCTTCTCGTCTGGTAGCTCAACTGGGACCGAGTGGAGAGACGAGTACCTCGGCGTGAACGCCATTGTCCATGGCCCAGCGGAAAAAGGATAGGGGTTCCCAATGGAGTGACGTTCCGGAGCAGGGGCGGTGTGGCCTGTTGGCGACATGGGGCAGATTGTGCCGTACTACTTTGCGAACAACAAGTTTACTCTTGTGGCGACGGTGTCCGTCCACGAGGTGCCGCAGAGTGGCAGCAGCCCCATTCCATTGATGGGTGTGCGGATGAATGACACCAGCAGCACGGTGCTTTTTGGTCTGTCGTACACCCATGACAGGAAGTGGCTGGCCATACCGGAGAAACGTGCTATTTCGAAGAGTGTTGGTGCGTGGGAACCAAACAAGACGTATCAGGTGGTACTGCAAATGAATTCTGAGTATTGGACTGTCTTTGTAGATAGAAAGGAAATTGACCGCAAGAGCTATAATGAGGATCTGTTCAACTCGCACAGGATCTCACACTTCTACATCGGTGGGGACAGTAATGACCGAAGTGCAACGGACGGCCACGTGACGGTGACCAACGTCATGCTGTACAACGAAGATCTGTATAATAATGAGCTGTATGAACTCAAAGCCAGCAAAGTCACTATTCCATCACTGGGTGTCGAGGAACATCCCACAGGACAGGTGACCAGCACGGAAGTTTCGGTTGTTCCCGAGTCAAAGAGTGAAGAAATCACCGCCAGCTGTGCGGAATTGAATGAGGATGATACTGACAAACAAGAGGAAGAAACGGCGTCGATGATCCGGTGCCTGCAGCGCCCCCTTCCACGGTTGACGCGGGATCATCTGTTTCTGAGCCTGCCATCGCAGCGGAGAGCGCAGGAAATGACCGTCCATATGACAATGCCCAGTTTCACCAGGCGAAGAGTCTCAGCAAGCCACGCCGAATGAAGAGAATAAATCGATGCAACGGGGCTCAGACCTGCAGCCACAAGACCCACAGCCAGCGGAATTAACGGAGGTTACCGATGTTGAAATGTCCTCTGGAAGTTATGATGAAGAAATGCCAGAGGAGGAGGGAGAAGCGGATGGCAGGAGTGGCGGATCAACGTCTTCAGTGGGTGCATCATCGGATATGGATACGGCCACCGAAACAGTTGACAGTGAGCACCAAGTGCAACAATGCATTGAGCCTTACGCTGAAAATGACGACCTGCGGTCCACTGGAACCGGAACCACCGGCGCGGAGGAAAGCCTCATCCTCGAGGCGGGGGGCAGCAATTCCGAGAGAGCAATGGGCTCAGACAGCAGCCTCACTCCTTCAGGGATTGACGCCGAACCGACATCCGCGGAGGACACCGACAACGTCTCTCGGACTGACGGAGCCCAATTTTCTTCTGAAAACGGTGAGGAGGTGCCACAGACGGTCGACACCGCACCGTGTAACACAAACACAGCGCCTGGGGAAACCGAGATCCCATCGGAGTCCAACGCCACATCGCTCTCGGACACTGAAATTTTGCCTGAGAACGGGCAGCTCGGCGAGTTGCTGTCCATGGGTCTGAGCCGTGACAGCACTGTGCATGTGTGTGTATTTCGGGTGTTGTTGCTGCTTCTTCTGCCGGGGCTGTGGGGCATTGTGGCTCTTTGAGGAGTGATTGGGTGCCGCGTGGGACACTTGCGCCCTCCCTTTCACCAACACACACACACACACCGCTGGGAATAAATTTTGCTACGCAGAGAACAATTTCTTTTCATTTTTTAAATTGTTTTCCTATCTTGCTTGTTGCCTTGGGGCAGCCACCATGGACTTTTTTTTTGCTTTTATTGTTTCTTCTGCACTCTTCCTGTGAGGGGTGCCGTGTGTTTCCGCCCAACTGCTCCACTCGCACACCCACCGACACGCTCATGACGACGGCCCTGTGCGCCTCGCCTGCTGCACGCATGAGGAGGGGCCGCGACGAACGGCGCGCTGAGGGAGCCGTGACGTGTGGGCGTGCGACGAGGGCCTGTGGGGCGGCGCACACATTTCTTCCCTCTTGTTTTGTTTTCTTGCGGCCAGGGCGGGCAGACACCCGCAGCGCCACACACCCGTCATGTCTGCGTGCTTCTCTCAGTCCCCACACACACGAGTGACTGTGCTCTGCGGGCCGCACTCACGTGCCGATGAGAGGGCTGAGGGGAGCAGCAACACGCAGATGACCCCATGAAATATAAACGATGTGCTGACACATGAAGGGTCAGACGGTTGAAAGGCATGCAACCGTTTTAATTTTAATTTGGGCAAAATATATACAGACAGTTTGGTGCGACCACACGGCAGCTAGGCGAATTTGTTATTATTATTATTATTATTACTTTTTTCCTTTTTTCTTATTTTTAAATTTGTGTGGAACAGTAACAGAGGACGTTTTTTTTTTTTAAATGACGGGATTTATATAAGAAGGGGGTGGCTAGGGAAAGTTTTCTTTTGTTTTGAATAAATCTTCTGTGGTTTGCCGCTGGTCGGGCTGCAGTGCAATCCTGAGTTTGAGCAGCCCTTCCATTCTTCTTTCTTTGGACATGCGCCTCTGCTGTGCATTTGTGTTTGTGCGTCTCTTCAGATACTTTGTTTTTTTTTCTGTCTTCTTTCCTTTTTGCGTGGCAGTGGGCACACACAACCACACGCGCAGGACACACACATTGCAGTGCAGGCGGATTCTTCTTTTGTACTCTGTGCTGGCAGTTGCGTGTGGCTGCTGCTTCCCCGTTGTGTTGGTGGGGGAGGAGGCGCGTGACGGCGCCCGGTGGAGGGAGAAGGCACCGACCGCTGCTGACGGTGACGGTCTTGGCTGCAGGTAATCTGACGGGATGGCGTGACTGGTGTCACAGTTAACCGAGATGGATGAGGACCGCACCGCATCTCTTTTTCGTCTCATCATCCTCTCAGTCCACGGCAGACACACACACGCAAAGTGCGGCGGCGGCGCGACCACCGTCCGTACGGCTGCGAGCCAATCGGACTGTGCAGTTGATGTGGATCCTCTTTCCCTGTCTGCGTACAGCCGCCGTGCTCCTCCATTCTTCTTTTTCTTCCTGTGTATGCCGTGCGCGTATGAGTTCGCTGTTTCTTGTGCAGTGCCGACTCATTGGTCACACCAGCGACGCTAGTGGTCATGTTTGTTTTTGCCGGGACCCTGTTACCTGGGA